TAAATCCTTTCGGTTGGTCATACCCCCACCGAATCGAGCACTTCATCAGGCCTACCAAGCCTGGCACCACGTCCGCAGATGCATCGGCTCCTAACTGTGACTATCCCCAGGGAAAAGCGAGAAAAATGGTGAGAAACAAGTCCTTTGGAATATGACTACAATGTGGGGCCCCAAGATGGCTAAGTTGGTTTATAACTATGGTTTATGGTACTTATAACTATAGTTAATGGGGTTTATAAATCAATTTATGACTAGGGGGCCCCACATTCTAAGATTGGCACAATTCCTGAGTAGAGATGGAACATCACCACAACATTGGAAAATCGGGAAATGATGAGAAATCACAAGCCAACTGCTCTGGGTTCGCGCGGCCTTACTGAGACTTCCCAGCTAAAGACATCAAACTCCCAGCTCCTGTCTCGCCAGCCCCACCTCAAATGACGATTGTTGAGCCACCGATCCCCAAAAAGGGACAATCATCGTAAAACATGGTATGAAACATGGGGCCCCCTAGTCATAAATTGATTTATAAACCCCATTAACTATAGTTATAAGTACCATAAACCATAGTTATTGGAGTTATAAACCAACTTAGCTATCTTGGGGGCCCCACATTGTATGAAACATGGACAATGTAACAATGTCGTGTGGAATGGAAACCACCAGCTGCACTAGCTACTGTATTGTCCGGCTTAGCCTTCAAATCTTAAAATGATGGGAATCACGCATCAAGAAATCAATAAAAAGGTCCCAACACCAGCAACATGCAGTGCATATGTAGTGCTTATGCCATTCGGTTCTGCCCCTCATTGCTGCGGTGACCTTTCCATTTCAGAAGTGAACTATATCCCAGCCCAGCCATCAGCGATAATCATCTGCAGCTGAAGGGCAGCAAGTGTCCATCACCTACCCAGCTCAACCGACCCACATGGAAAATCTGGTGCTGAATGGGAGCATTTTTGTCTGGTTCATTGCTGTTTTCTTTCCAGGAAATTGTGCTAATATATATATATATACATTTACAAACACACACACACATACATATATATATATATATACATATACACATTCATATACACATAGATATGCATAAATCTAATATATATATATAATTATATATAATATTGTGAATCACAGGCGCCATTCTTTACCCGTGGATTTTGTATCTTGCCACTTGCAAAGAATGTCCGGGTTTCCAAAAGGACCAATTCCTTTGCTAAACGCAGAACAAAATCAACACCAAAGCAACTTTTCATGGGGGCACCCCCTGAACCACCCAAATGGTGAATACTGCAAGTGTTGAGATGATACTGGGAAAAGTCAATAACCTTCCTGAGATTTTGTGTGTGGATCGTCCAATCCTTTACTATTGCTTTTTGTATTTTACTTAGCACCACTTCCGAAGGATGCCAAGGTTTCCAAAGAAAAAGAAGAAGAACAGAAAAGGAAGAAGGAAGGGAAGGAAGAAGCAAAGAATAAAGGGTATACAAAGAACAGGGAGAACGAAAGCAGGAAAGAAAACGGAAACAGAGGAAGACCGAAGAATAGAATAAATGAAAGAAAGAGACACATGATCAAATGTTAATAAAGTAAAGTCGACTCACCCAGATCACGCATGAGCCCAACAAAGGACAATGAAATGAGCATAGATTCAAACGATTTAACAAGACCATGTTCCTCTGAAATTGTCGCTTTTAGAATCCGCCTCAATTGCTTGGGATGCACGGGGTGCAAAAATCAGCTTGAACTTTCAATTTCTTGCAGAATGCCAACCATACTTGGCACCATTGGTTCAATGTCAATTGCCAGTCATCCAAAGTCCAGTTTTTAGCTGCAACTGGATGAAACAAATCCGATCGATGCCACTCGCTTCATGCGCCTGACCCATGGTGCAAACAGTTGCAGTGCTGGTGCAAAAGGTTTGGATTAAATTTTGGGCCGAAGCTGCCGTCGGAGTATGTCGGAGTGAGCAATGTGACAAGTTGACACCGGAATGAGCTTCAAACAGCGTATTCACAGCCAAGTTTAATATTTGAAGACTCTCCCTCGTCAAAGAGAAAAGTGGTGACAGTTTTCTGGAAACCTGCCACCTGACCCCACAGATAAGATGCTCAAAAAGTGGGTGTGCCATGGCCTCGAGCTCATAATGCTCATATCCATACAATGTGGGCCCCCTAGTCATAAATTGATGTATAAACCCCATTAACTATAGTTATTTGCGTACCATAAACCATAGTTATTGGAGTTATAAACCAACTTAGCTATCTTGGGGGCCCCACATTGTACCAATCCATATCAATCCATCATCTTCTCCCATTCAAGCCACCGAGTCATCCGTCGGCCGCCGTGGCCGCTGCGAGGTGGAGCTGCGCAGCTGCGCTTGCCCTGGCACGCTGGGCCGCTTCTGCGCCAACAAAAAGGCGGTGAACTGGCGATGTTTGGTGACTTTATAGTGACTGAAACAGTGAAGTTGTGTGGATTTGAGGGATGTTTTTGGGTGGATTTGTTTGTTGATTTTTGGTGGTTGGGCAGTTGGGCCCAAATTTGAGACCACAATGGACATACATGGAAATACTGGAAATACTTAGATGGGCCGTGGAGTTAGTTAACTAGTTGGTACATGGATTATAATTGGGATATAGAGGGTTATGTCTATATCCCCAGCTACTAACCAGTTAGTTAATCCCATGGCCCATCTCAGTAGAAGAAATGTGCGCTTGTCAACGGGAAACAATCCTTGCATCCCCTTCCCAGAAACAAAACATGTGGAAAGCCTGAACTCTCCAGGGCATCCCATCGCATCGCATGGGACCCGCAATGGCGACCTTGGAGCGCCACTCAAAAACAGCTTGCCGCGTAGGCAAACGAATTGGTGATTTCAACTGGACCCTTAGTGAATTTATATCCAAGACAAGCCTCCAGAAAGGACAGCTCCAAGCTCAAGTTCTCTTGACTGCTAAAATCCAATGATACCAGTGCCCACCCTACATCCCTACATCTACACATGGGCAGCCACATTACTACCCAAGTTAGATCATTGTCAAATGATACCCGAGCCGCGCAAGATCAATGTGCCCAATCCTTATCCCCTTGATAGAGCTGATAACCACAGAAAATCCTCCGGCGCTGCTGGAAGGCACCCTCCAAAGAGACCACCGAAGCCACCAAACCTTTGGAGACATTGGGAATCTGGGAGGGTAAGCTGGCTGCAAACACGATCATGCCTGGAACAATATTGGAGCAATAGAGGAAACAAATCTTTCAGGCCTTCCAATAGATTGCGTCTTGCAACTGGGTTTGCAGACATCAAGGCCACGTGGAAGTCAAAGAACTGAAGTCACAACATGGTATGAAACTGGTCTTGCTGCATCATCTGCGCGAATTAAAACGCTGCTGTTCAGTGGGTGCATTGCAGCATGTGGGTGACAGCCCCTAAAGTACTCCTGAATCCAATTAAGCTGGAAGATGCTGGAAGTTAGTGTCTAAGCTCTTCCAAGCCACCACATCAGAAACTACACTTTGGCTTTGCAGAAACTTCCTGTTAACCATAGCGCCCACCACTCGGTGCCCCGAACCGGAGCTTTGATTTGGCCCGTTCTCCGTGAGTCGCGCAGAGGCCTGCTGCATTGAAATGGAACAAACAAACAAAAAACATGGAGATACTAATATACATCATTGAAGCAATTAAACGCATATTCAAGTCATTGAACATTGGAGATGTACCATGTTCTCCATATAATATGTTTTTAGAGCATTATCTCGCTGTCCAAGCTAATGCTTAACTGTGTCATTCTGCATCTTTCATAGCCTGTCAGCTGTGCTTTCTCATCACCCATCGGACTCTTTTGACTCTGTGTGCGCAGTGTTGATGTCAGTTGTACCACCAGGGCGGCCCCGATGCGGCCACAGACAGCGGATTTTGAGCGGAAATGACCTCCTTACAAATACCGATGACCCCCCTTGAAAAGAACATCATTAACAAAAATAGAACGGTTGGTTTTGCTATATATTTTGATGTAATGTGATATAACGATTTTCAATCGTCCTGAACCACATTTCTGCTGGAATATAATTCACTTTTGCAAAATCAAAAGACACACGAGTTGTTGAGTGAAGGGGTACCTGTTTATTAATTGCCAACTAGTCGGACAAGGGCATATGGTGTAAGCATGGGGCCAAGGGCCATTTGTGACAAACCAGTTGAATCCAGTTGATATCATTACTTGTTGACAAGGACGCACACAACATGCACCTTATCTGAATACTCAACAGTAACAAATAATTTGTCAGGATGGTCATCATGTCAAATCTTGACCCAAAAAGAAACTCAATTTCTGGCTAACTATGGAAAGGAGATGCCATTACTCCCCATTTACTCACCAAGACTTAGCCGAGCCCCTCAGTGGTACTGCTGCGCCGCATGCAGCAGCTTGGGGATAGCCTCACCAGGCAAATGGGATTATCCAATAGGCAAATCGGGATTTAATGGGGGTTCCATGGTGTTTGATCGTTGGTTAGTGCAGTTAAGTGGTGCTGAAATATTGGTATCATGTCTGGCTTGGATGGATTGAACATTAAACAATCCGGGTTATGCAAATGGGGTTATATACGCTCTGGTAATTTAACATAGCCATGGAAAATCACAACTTTTAATAGGTAAACCATCTATAGATGGGCAATTTTCAATAGCTATGTTAAATTACCAGAGGGTAAATAGGGTTGCCCAAAACTGCTGTGATCTCCCGGATTCCAAGATTCTACAAAGCAACATGGCTTGTAGGTGGTCAAGTGCAACGGCAAAAAAAAATCACCATGCACCTAATTCAAGGACCGACCTCAAAGACTTCCCGGCAAAATTGGAGGCCAAGAGCACCGGTTTCTTGTTGAAACGATGTTATTTTTGTATTTATATAATTTTATATACATATATAGGTGGCAAGCAACTACCACTCCACAGTTCCTCTGTTCCCGTGGTCATCCCCATTGTTTCCTTCACATCCTCACATCTTCCCCAGTTGCCATGTGGCCGTGGCTGCGTAGGTCTGCACCCTGCTGGTGACTTTGTGGCGGCTCGGGTCGCTGCTCAGGTCAAAGGCTGGGGTCATCTTCAGCTCGGCTGGCGAGGGGTCGAGGCAGAGAGATGGGTCACAGTGCGATGCCACATTTCCTGATTTGTTCATGAGACTATTAGATGATAGGAGATGATAGGAGATGTATGCAGTAGGGTCTAGACAAACGATACCAGTTCATCTGCCAGTTCATTCTGAATTTCCGTGTGGTCTGCCACATCCCAATCTCGGGGTAAGTATTGACCACCACTGGTACCCCAGTCCTCGCATCACCCCATCTCTGATGTACACAATGGCACGCCACCAGCCGCTTGCAGGAAAGTCCTCGTGCCAGGACGATTAACAGCTCCCAGCTGGGGTTTGATAACAGTTACCCAGCCAGTAACGCCTAGGATTTTCCGAAAGAACATGGAGAATTCAACAGCTTTCAAAAACCCTTCGCCAATTCCCATCTGAGGACATGTGTTTCACCCATTCCGAATGGATATTTTTTCACTTGAGTCAATTCCTTTTCTTCCACCTGGAGAAATGCTTCCCCAACTCATTGCAATTTTTCGCCCAGTTGCCGCATTTCCGCACCTCAATTGTGCAGAAGGTTTTTCCAGGTGCCCCAATTCATCGGAGCCATTTTTTCCATTTTTTCCATATTTTCCCTGTAGGTCTTCAGATTAAGAACGCAAATTCTGGTAGTGCTATAGTTGCTATATAGTATAGCGGCCTCTTCCCACTTTAAGACACGCCACCTGGTTGCTGGTTTTGAGCCATTCCAAAAATTGGCTCGTCATCTCAACTAATCATCCCTTTTGATCCCGTTTGCAGGGTTGAAACACATTGGAAAACAATAAAACAATACATATTTCAACCCCCAACCAAAGACTTCTTGAACTCCGAACTTTCTGTAGCTCCATCTCAATGGCAAGTGACACGATCTCCTTGGCCAACTCCTCTACCTTGGGTGCCAAGTTTCGAATTTCATCCCCGGTTAAATCTATACACAATGTGGGACATTACAAATATATATGTGTGATAATATATATATATATGTGTGTGATATATATATATGTATATATATATATATATTTACATATTAAACCCCCATTGTCTGGTCCCAAAGGTCTGTAAATCCCCTGCTAAATCATGATTCATGATTTCTGGTGTGGTTATACAATAAGAATGGGGGACGGGATTATCAGTCGATTTGGGTTTGTGTTTGTTCAACCCAACATTCCACTCATGGGATTGTTCTTTAGGGGAACTGTGTGCAGAAAACCATGGAGTTCATTTAGCGTTTACAGTATTCACATTGGGTTTGCAATATATATATATATACATCAACTCCGATTGACGCTTTGAAAACTGGGCAGAATATACCCTGCAAACTAGGAATAACATGCATCATAATCATGTGCCACCTCTTCCAAACTTCAAAACTAAGCCATTCACCCACAGATTTGCCGTTCTGTATCGGTTTGTTGCTTCCCCTGGCCGTATCTCACTCCAGCTTCTTGTTTGCCGCGCGGCATAGGCCCGAAACTGCGCCATTTGACGTTCCTGCACGCTGCGCCACACGCCATCCAGGGTGGGAAACCATCGGCAACCCATGCGAGCGAAGAGCAGCAACTGGCGTTGGAAACCTCGGCGACTCGACTGAGGCTCAGAATGCTTAGAATTTTGGGAAAGCGATGTTATCACCATTGAGCACGCGATATTATCACCTAAAACACTATATAATATATGTATATGATTATGATGATCATGATTATGATGATGATCATGATTATGATGATGATAGTGAGGATGATGATGATGATGATGATGATGATGATGAAAATGATGATGATGATAGTGAGGATGATGATGATGATGATGATGATGATGATGATGATGATGATGATGATAGTGAGGATGAGGATGATGAGGATGATGATGATGATGATGATGATGATGATGAGGATGATGATGATGATGATGATGAGGTTGATGAGGATGATGATGATGATGATGATGATAGTGAGGATGAGGATGATGAGAAGGATGAGAAGGATGATGAAAATGATGAGGATGATGAGGATGATGATGATGATGATGATAGTGAGGATGAGGATGAGGATGAGGATGATGATGATGATGATGATGATAGTGAGGATGAGGATGATGATGATGATGATGATGAGGATGATGATGATGATAGTGAGGATGAGGATGATGAGGATGATGATGATGATGATCATGATGATGATGATGATGATGATAGTGAGGATGAGGATGATGAGGATAATGATGATGATGATGATGATGATGATAGTGAGGATGAGGATGATGAGGATGATGATGATGATGATGATGATGATAGTGAGGATGAGGATGATGAGGATGATGATGATGATGATGATGATGATGATAGTGAGGATGAGGATGATGAGGATGATGATGATGATGATGATGATGATGATGATGATAGTGAGGATGAGGATGATGAGGATGATGATGATGATGATGATGATGATAGTGAGGATGAGGATGATGAGGATGAGGATGATGATGATGATGATGATGATGATGATGATAGTGAGGATGAGGATGATGAGGATGATGATGATGATGATGATGATGATGATGATAGTGAGGATGAGGATGAGGATGATGAGGATGATGAGAAGGATGATGAAAATGATGAGGATGATGAGGATGAGATGTAAATAGGGAGTTAATTCGCCAATATGGAGAAGAACCAGTTTGTTCAGCACATTTTTAATGACCTTTTTTTGATGCTTGCGTTGATGCGGGTTGGAGTTGTAGGTCTGAGATGGTGGAAGTTGTTTTGCCTCTCTCTGGGACCAAAGTCAGGAACAGTTTTCAGTTTTCATAAAGCATTGAAAGCCACTGGCAAACAAATCTTACACTACTGATTCTGACTAGCCCCTGACAAGCAAATCTTACTGATTCTTACAGTACTCTAAGTTCTAAGCATCGCTAACACCAATTGATTTCCTAGTCAGGCAGAAATATTGTGTGTGTTTTCTGTGGCAAGACAGTTTCAATTTCCAACCCATGTGGGTTTCACAAGCACATTTAACAAAAACAATGAGGATCACCTATGTTTTGGTGTGCCCAATGTGCCCGTGCTTGTGGACAAATCCTCCACCACTGGGGTGCCACACTTTGATTCATCAAAACGCGTTTCTTTCCTCAGCACCGAAACCAATTCTTTCGCCAGGGAAGGCTGGACGAATGGAAACGATGCAAACCAAAGCACCTGAAACAGAAAAAAGATAAGGCGGAGCTATTGATTCTGTATATCCGTTGAACAAACCTAACCTACAATGGATTCATTATAAACAACTTACAACCCCCTTCACTACAACCAACTTAGCAAACTATTCACATATATATATATATGTGTATGTATGTATGTGTATATATATATATATGTATATTAATATATATATATATTTGTATATTAATATATATATACTACTGTAACATTAGATCGACTCAAATCACACTTGGTAATTCCATATTCCAGGAAAATCCAATATTCCACTGAAAGCCAACTAACTTCTAGCTCCATTCTTCCAAGCGTCGTGCGGCCACGTAGCACCAGGCCTGTTTCAGGAGAACCTCAGCATCCTGCAGCTGTTGGGTCTCTCGAACCAGTCGCATTCCTCGGTGAAAATGGCCATGTTGGATGATTTGGCTATTGGAAATGGTGGCTTTGCTGTTCGCAAACGGTGAAATTAGATGAAATTGGCCAACATCATTGAACATGTTCTTTTGCTGTTTGGGAAGTGATGATACTCATGGTCGTCATACTTGAAATAACATCAGGATCATCAGGCTCATCTATGTTCATAGATTGATCCGTTTGAGCTGAGTTTCGGAGGGCTATGGCCAATGCGCAGCTGCGGTTTACACCCTGCTCGCAATGAAGGAGCACGCATCCATCTGGCGCAACAGGGAAGGATTGGTGTCAGCAAAACCATGCGAAATCGCCATCTTAGATGCGGACTTTGAATATCAAAAAGTACAGTAGGGTGACACAGCAGTGATGCTAACTGCGGTAAGCGCAGTTTGTTAGTTTCTTCCACAAGAGGATACAAAGGGCATCACCAAGAATCACCAAACAAGAATGGCAAAAGACCTTGTTGATGCCTCCACCTAGCCATGGGCCGTGGAGCCATTGAAATATATTGAAATTAAAGGATAGGTGGTAGCAAAACTTACCCTCTGGTAAACATACAAAAAACTATGGAAAATCACCATTTTTCATGGGTAAATCCACTATTTCGACTGGGCCATTTTCAATAGCAAACTGTTGACATAACCAGAGGGCTCAGTTCTTGGATTCATCCTGGGGCATCCTGGGGCCGCACCTGTGAGATTCCCAAAGGCAAAGGACCAGGTCACGTCAAAGTCGTTCATGATGCAATAGTCCGCGAAATCCTTGCTGAGTGAAGTTAGAAATACATAGAAATACTAAGCGGTGTCAATCAGCATATCATACAGTATCCTCCAAAGGAGGTACAGGTATGCCGGCGCGCTCTGGTGGAGGAAAAACCGTACCATGCACAGCAAACTATGGGATCCATGGCTACGGTAACCTGACCCAAACAAAGTGGTGTAGCTGGGCAGCAACTCCCCGAATCCGCTAGTAAAAGATTTATCTCATCAAGGAAGCCTGAACTTAAAACAATCGGGTGTGTTAACCATGTTAAACCGCTGGGCACGCCCATTCTGGAATCATGACATCAATAGTTACTGGGTGGTTCCAACTCCGGGAAATAGGCGGGTCGATCAGGGTGGAGAGCTTGGTTTCACTCTTCGGATCTCTTCGGCCAGGCTTCATCTTGCCATAGTTCCAGGTACTCAATGCCAGGCCCGTAAAATGAACTTCCTGCGAAGGCGTCGGTTGATGCTTCCCGTTTGGTTGTCTCTATGGATGCAGGCTGTGCGTCCGCCCAAAGCATGTCAACTAACTGCGAGACCCTGAGAACCGCCACTCCATGCGCCTGTATCACGGACCTTGGCATAGCACCAGCTCCAGCTGAAGATAGCTGAAGGGATAATTTGCCCAGTTCCCTGCAAGAATGCAATTGCCGAACAACTGGTCATCAAGCTATCATACATGCCATATAGATATATAATTGTGTATGTACACACATATATATATATAACGAGATTATATATATATATATTTGCATACACACCTAAATGCATTATACAGTATATAATTATATATATAATATATTACAAACTCTGGAGTCCAATATTTTTTCGCATGTGCTCACGGCCTCAACATTCGGCTGAGGCAGGGACAGTCTGCGGGGAGCAGTTGATGACCTGGACCAACGGTGAGCAGTGGAACCAAGGACAGGAATCTGTGTGGCTACCCGTGGTAATCGTGGTACAAACTTTCAAATCCAGAGTATCTGTACAGCTGGGATGGGGAGAAGTATGGTTTCGGGACCCAAAGGCCGTTATGCCAGGATGGGAAAATGAGAAACTATTTAGAGGAAACAATCTCTTTAAGAGCATGGCATAGACCAATACAACCCAGGGGTTTGGTGAATATGTTCTTCAAAAAACATCAAAAAACCACATGATTCCATTAGCCTATGGATTTTGATGCTAGGCAATGGCTACATCCCTTCAATCAATGGTCGTTTCAGGAACCTAAATTGGAGGTACCTACCATATATAAGGCCTATTTTTGAGGCCTAAATTTCAGGGGATATACCCCCACAATATGGCCAAAAATATGGTACTAACGTACCTCCATTTTAGGATCCTGAAATCCCCATATTTTTTGGGGATATTCCCTGAAATTTAGGCCTTATATATGGTAGGTACCCCCAATCAATCGGTTCCTGAAATGGCTCCCTTCAATTTCTCCGGCCTTCTTCACATGGTATCTACGCAGCGCTGCGATATCGCGACAGCCTGTGGAGTCTGCCAGCATGATGGTGCCTGCAACGGAGCAACGGAGCACAGCAGTGGAACAATGGTGGTTTTCACATGGTTTAAAGTATCATCAATGGATTGGTTTAAGGGAAAATCTTAACCGGAAACCATAGATTTTCCCGTTAAATATGAGGCTTTCCTGTAAATTTTCCATTAAACCAATCCATTGATATCAATAATGGTGGTTTAACTATCAAATACTAAAAAAAAACATGTTTAAAGTGGAACAAGAAATAAACAGTGGTTTTAACTATCACCAACTATCAATAATGGTTGTTTAACAACTTTCAGTGGTTTTTATACTTTCAGTTTAACCATGGAATAATGGTTCTCTTAAGTTTAAGTATCAAAATGGTGGAGAACTCACTAGCTCATCCACCTCCAGCTAAAATGGCAACTTAGACGCTAGGTCACACCCTTACAGGTTCTACCTAGCAGTACATTATTACTATTACTATTATTACTACATATCATTATTATCATATTGTATCATTATTCTCATGCATTATTATCATTGTTATTTTAAATAATCATTATGTTTGTTATTGTTACTATATGTTATATTAAATTATTATATATATATATATGATATATGTGTGTCCTTCACGATCGGCATCTTACCCCCATGATGGGTACTTACCGGTTCTGCCATTGCCCGGCCCAGTCCACCCAGAGTGCCTGGATGGACTTCCTTGGCGCAAATCAAAATGGAACCGTGGTGCATCGAACAGACTTTCGTGCAGTACAAATTGGGGCTATCATGAACCACGTATCAATATCTACATATTAACAAAAATGAAACAATCTAATATATATATATACATAAATATGCACACACGTGACATATTATATCCAAGTGCCCTTGAGTCTGGGAATACACCTAAGTCTACTGGTACCAAAAGAAAACAAACAAAGAAACATATTCAAACCTATCTCCCGAGCATCTTCATCACACGTCTATAATAACAAATAAGAGGGCATGTCTACGAGAATGATTTATGATAAAATATGTATATATATATAGACACAGTACACTTGCAACTAGGCAGAACATGGCAGAACTATATATAAATAAACTGTGTATATATCACATATAATATATAATAGTATTTGCATTGTAATAGTAATCACAACAATCCGAGGCACCACCAGAGGCGTGCTTTGGGGAAAGTTCACCTTGGGCAGGAAAAACATGGCCGGAAGGGTGGAACGTAATGGAACCATTCTTCGTCAACAGAAAACTCTTGAAACAAAGGGCACTAGCCTCTGGATCCCTCTGGTAAACATACGAAAAACTATGGAAAGATCCACCATTTTAAATGGGAAAATCCACTATTTCGACTGGGCCATGTTCAATAGCCATGTTAAATTACCAGAGGGTAAGCATAGATAAGACCAGAGATGCAAAATATGAACTCTCAACTTTGGCGTCGTGTCACCTGGCTTGTCATAGTGTTGTCGCTCAAAACTTAGCTCAAAAAGTGAGACAGGCTCCTCTGATTGCTTAGGCCTGGAAAAGACTTAAAGACAAGGATTCCTCCATGAGAAAAGTAGACCATGAGTTGTATCTACTTCCCGTCTCCAGTAAAGCAATATTGCAACGTGCAAATCCTTCCCAAGTCCTCCATTCATTAAACGATGTCCTTCTTGAAACTGATTCTGGTAAGTCCATAGCTTGGGTGAACATATCCCATGTCAATCCGATAGATCACTTCTCGTCGGAGACGACATGTTTTTCCCCAAACCTGGGAAGGCGCCCAATGATTTGGAAGGTTCAAGCCCCAAAAAAAGGTTCATTTTGGGATGGTCCGATGCTAGCAAACCGTCATTCCCGATGCATCCTGGCAGCAATTGACTTCATTTTGGAATGCTTCGATATTCAAAAATCACTTTCATCTTGGGAGAGTTCTTAAATGCTTCAATCATGTAAGAAACTGCAGAAACCCAAACCTACCATTTGGGGATGGTTTGAATATCCCATCGAAAAATTGCGATGACTTGGGAAGACTTGGGGATGGTTTATGGCATTGGGTGAATCCTATGGGAATTTATGGGGATAATCATCATGAATCTATGATATTAACCATTTTTAAGCATAATTAGCCTCTGGTTATTTAACACTTCGCCATGGAAAGACCCACCATGCTATTAATCTAGGTAAGCCATTCCCCTATTTCTATGGACCATCTATACCATGGCTATGTTAGTCATAACCATAATTAATGGATATTTTTATGGGTACATAACCATGATCCGTGGCACACGGCTTTGCACCCGCTTCACCGCTTCCTGCATGGGCTTCAAGGTCTCCTCTAAGGCCTCCGCTACGGCCGCTGAGGCGTTTGGCTTTGCCGGAAATAGGCTTGAATTTTAGGGGAAAATCTATGAAAAAAAAACATGGCTTTTAGGGGAAATATAACATATTAACATGATATAACTATTCATTGGTTTTATAAGCTAATTAGATGTAACTATGGCATTCATTCATTGGTTTTATAAACCAATTTTAACGAAGACAAATGAGGATTTAACAATGGGAAAAAAACTGGTGATTTCTAGTAATAATTGGTCCATCTGATTTATGATAGCTAAGTTGATTTACAACCCAATCTAACTAGTTGTTAGACTAGTAATAAACAACTCACCCATCTAAGGGTCCCTTCCTGCAACCATAATGGGAATATCATGGGGAATTAATGGAACATCTAAGGAGATAATGGTGATATCATGAGGATATCATGAAGATATAAAGGGATTATGCACACTTAGATTCTTAGGTATTTTGTGTGGATGTATTTAATTAATCAGGCTTATTTCTATGAAAAAGACTGTTTAGTCATATTAAGTACCAACGTTTAAACAAGGGGCATCAGGTTGTATTTAGTTGCATCTAGTGGTAGTTGTGGGGGCGCTGGGGCTGCGCCTTCATATGCATATGGATCATGGTTCATTTCATTCATGAATGTCCCCCCCCCAGCGAACAACCTTATTCTCTGAATTTTCACATCTTATCTACGGCACAAGTATCTATACAAATACATATATCATATACCATCTGGTTATTTAACATAGCCATGGAAAATCCCTGATAAATGGAGGTTTTAATGGGAAAATCATCTCTAAATGGGCCATCTATACCATGGCTATGTTAGTCATAACCAGAGTGTATATTCTCGGCCTGCCTAACTTACCTAACCCTCTGGATCCCTGTGGCCTGAGTGCAGTAGTACTCCTTTGTGAGGCGAAAGTCTTCTGCCAGAGCTTCGCTCTCCAGGTCACCCTGGCCGGGGAACAGCATCCCACACTTGGCGGATTTGAACAGCAAAATACAAGAATCTGGGTAAATTATAATATTTCACTAACCTGAATTAAGGCCCATGTGGGAATGATTTCCCTTATTAACTATGATTCCCAGTGAGGTCGCAGTGAGGTCGTTATAATTTACCCAGAAGAATGCATAAGAATGCACCCCCAGCAACACATGCTTTCAGTAAGATGTACAACTACAACTCAACTACAACTCTGCAAGTCTGAGCTTGCATCTTTGTCATCTAAAACTTCAAAAACTTCACGGACTAAGACTAGACCCAGCCGTTAAAACGTCTGCCGCGACGGCACATCTTGGCACATCTTGGAGCCAGGAAACGTCCACCATGTACTGCTCCTCCGTGGAAATGGCCGGATCCAAACGCCGCAGCTTTCCCAGTAGCGCCGCCTGGGCACCGGCACTGCTATGGGATCAACTTGGAACACGGCCATACCTTTGCGCCAACATCCAACATCTATCCACATCTTGGATAAAATCACGGAAACATATTCGGAAATATCATACATTTGGGCCATGATGAGCTATGAAATGCTATGAATATCTATGAATCCTGTGGATCTCCTACCTTCAATGCTTGGCCAAGCAACAGGTGTCACCGTTGCCAGCAACTCCTGCGATCTGGGTCTGGGATCCAGGTCCCAAGCTGGATTTTTGAAGAGCCACAAGGTCGACACCTGATCTTTTCTGCTTAACAACCATCTCTCAGGTTTCTTGGCCTATGTAAGTGAATATCACCACAAAATATGGCCTGAAATATGGTACAGTACCTCCATTTTAGGATCCTGAAATGACCATTGCCCAAGTGCTCAAATCTAAAGTATATAAAGTATGCCTCAAGAAAGACACGACACACCGACACACGACTCTAGAAACATATGTCCCTGGAAGAGCCTGCGCTTCCGCTGACATATCCCTCGGCCGCTTTCGCGAGAGACCTCGCTGCTACGTACCGAAACCATTATCCTGGTTGGTCACTGCACCTGAAAAACCCACATTACCCACCTTTGAAGGCTCCATCTGGTTCCATGTTCATGGGGGGGCCCAAGGGTGGTTCACTCTCTTCAATTCAGCTCCAAAAACTGGAGAACACCTTGGGATCACGTAAATATGAGCCAAGATCCACACAATCTAGAATAAAGTACATGAAGGACCATGAAGGTGGCAAAACGGAATATCCTCACTCGCAACTCGCAATGATTTTCAAACAGCAATATGTTCTCCCCTTTGCCTGATCTTTCAGATGTTCAGGGTAACACCTATGTCACCTTAAAATGTTCTGCTCTGGGGGCATGCAGAGGTTCACCATTTGGTGCACCACTGCAAAGTGACAGCGTATTGATATTGCAAAAGCACTTGATTAGACAAATGGCCGACTTTCACATTTCATTTCATCTGCACCGTATAAATGGGCATCCTGCGAGTTAGCCTCTGCTGAGGGCCGTCCCCCCAACTGAGCAGCCCTACTTTGTGCTGTTTCATCTGTCCTGATGGTCGACCCAGGCAATTGCTTCGCTGAAATACTTCCGGCACGCAGGACAAAAAACAAAACCAACAATAATAAGAGACATAATCTCGCATGGCTACCTTTGGAATCTTTGAATGGCAAACAAGTGCCTTACTCATTGGTGATAAGTACAAGAAGGAAAAAACATATTTTCAAGCTAGTGGAAGTATTGCACCACGCTGATGCACCAATAAAGGACATGCAAAAATGTCAAAGAACAAAACCGCACGCGTGACAGCCCAGCTAATGACCTGAATCAGGGCCAATTTGGCTAGCTACAGTTCAATTTGTTTTTCCCCGTTCCAAAGGCAGGTGCCCACGCTTATTAATAAGTCATGTAAAACTTGCACAATCCGAAATAAAAGGCGGATGGTTCTTCTCCTTTTTTGAAAGTGCCTTCCAGGAATTTGCTATGGAAAATGACCCATTGATGCCTACTCATTAAACATCCTATTTTGTTTTTGATGATGTTCCTGATGTTCCATGGAAAACTGCACAAGACTTGACTTTAATGACCTGAAGTGCGCCCCATTCAGCCTCTCAGCCGTCACAAGCTCCTCAGTTTCAACCTGGCCCAGACCCGGTCATGTTCGAAGGAGACGACAACATATGACAACAACAAGAAGAACAAAAACAGGTATCCAAGGAGCTTGAGACTTCAATATATAAACAGAGTTCCAAACATGTTCTGTTTGGTGGTCGAGCCACCTATCCCACAGATATGCTGAGTTATTTGGGATCGTTATCTCATCTCATCTCCCACGACCGAGGGAAAAAACAACTTAAAACCAAACCAGATATGTTTGACACCACCTAGCTGATGTGATAGGACATGAGTCACATGTGGTGCACAAATCTTGGACTCCTCCTGTTCAGTGCCAAGTCATGGCATTGCGATATCCGGGTATCCAACACCTAGGATGGGCCAAATAAAGTTCTGTCATAGATTGTAAACCTTCCAACCCCATCCTCCCCATCCCATTTTTTGGGGGCAACAAATGGTCCCATGACCATGTCCCCAACATCGATACCGGCAGTGCGCCTCTACCGGAGCTTCGGGATCAGCCTGTGGAACTGATGTTGGACCCTAGAGCCCTGAAGTGGTCGGAACATTTGCTACAAAGCGCATCTTTGGCAGCTGAATAATCTGAATATTGTGGTAATTGTGGTAAAAACTATTGGTTTAAGTAAAATTTACAGTTCCTCACCGAGGGGAACATCTTTACTTTGAGCTATGGCCTTTTCAGACTGCTTTCTCTCACGCACACAAGGGCACGATAAAGTTCCACACAAACCCTGTAGCCATTGCTTCGTATATACCGTATATGAGCATCATGACAAATGTTTGAAACAATCGCTTGGATTAGGATTAGGAGTCATATGTCCACAATACATCGACTATAAATACTGTAGTAGTTTTTCATTAGCTACAGGCTACACTTACAGTTTGCACGGCAACCCCAGAGCCATTGTGGGTTGCTACGAGTCTCAACTCAGAAGGGGTCCAAACAAAAATGCAGCCATCACCTCTTCCGCTTCTTCTTCGCCTTCCTCTTCCAATTCCTCCTGCGCCTTACTGAAGCTGGGCTTATCACAATGTACATGCATTTTGTTATGGGCCCCCAACAAAATAGAAGAATTCTTCAAGGATGGTAGGGAAGCTATTTAACTACCCCATAATTCCCAGGTTTCCATCCGTTTTGGGGCTGCCATGTTAGCTGCTATATGCAAAAAATCGCATATGATATACTGTATATATATATATTATATATACATGTATTTATGTATGCATTAAGCCGTGGGTAAATGGCACACAATTGAAGGTAGAACCCTGAACATGGCACTCGCCTTCCATACAATTGTCTTCGGTTTCCATGCCCCTTGCAAAGGGTGTAACCACAACATAATCCAGTCGTGCTTGACTCTTGGCGCAGGTCGCGTAAAAGTTCCAAGAGAGCTACGTACAAACACATACAAACATATCATTAATATTACACATAAACACAACTTTACAATACTATACACATATACATAGCCTGAAGCAATAGCAGCTACCCTCTGGTAATTTAACATAACTCTGGAAAGATCCACCATGTTTAATGGGAAATTCCACTATTTCTATGGAAAATCACCATTTTTAATAGGTAAATCCACTATAAATGGTCATTTTCAATAGCTATTTTGACATAACCAGAGGCTACTCTGGAAACCACCAGTCCCTGGAGGTCCCACCTCGGCCATCACGGCAGTCCCGTTCTCTGGAACGAAGTCCTCGCCGAAATCTGGCACTTCATCCTCCACCTTAAGGCCGAACGGAAAATTGTGGCTTCACCCTCTGGTTATGTCAACAGTTTGCTATTGAAAATGACCCATTTATAGATGATTTTCCCATTAAAACCTCTGGTAATGACTGTTAGTTTGCTATTGAAAAATGACCCAGTCGAAATAGTTGATTTACCTATTCAACATGGTGATTTCCTATAGCTATGTTAGTTTATAATGACCATTTATAGTGGAAGTTCCCATTAAACATGGTGATTTTCCATAGTTTTCTGTAAACGTTTACCAGAGGCTAATTGGTACTGCTATGACTGCTATGACTTTCTCACTGGTGAAACCATGTTCAATCCTTAGATCCCATTCCATATCCCACAAAAAAGGCCAGTTAAATCCATAAAAATCCCCAGTGTTCATGATACCCTCTGGTAAACATACAAAAAACTATGGAAACTCACCATTTCCAATGGGTAAATCAACTATAAATGGTACATTTTCAATAGCTATGTTAAATTACCCGAGGGTATCCAAGTTACAGTTGGATTTTTTAGCGCATTAAATATCATTAAACCTCCCACTAGTTGATAAATAGTTTATATAATAATTATCATATCCAAGTAACAATGCCATTCAATCCCAGTGGAGATATAAATCCCTATTGTTGTTCAATCCCATTATCCCAGTTACCCTCTGGTAAACTAACATAGCTATAGGAAATCACCATTTTGAATAGATAAATCAACTATTTCTATGGTCATTTTTCAATAGCTATGTCACAAATTACCAGAGGGTATATCAATAATATCTATTGGGGATAATATCCAGTTATAAACCCCCCATATCCCAGTTATCCCAGTGTTATATCTATATCCCACAATGTGGGGCCCCCAAGATAGCTAAGTTGGTTTATAACTCCAATAACTATGGTTTATGATGGTTTATGGTACTTATAACTATAGTTAATGGGGTTTATAAATCAATTTATGACTAGGGGGCCCCACATTGCAGTTCTAAACCCTCCATTTTTCAGCTGCCCTGGGCAACGCCAGGCCACACCAAAGGCGGCTGCAGCCTGGGCCGCCTCCTCCGCCAGAGCGGCCTCGGCGGCTAAGGCCGCCTCGGCGGCGGCATCCACCTGCGAAGTTCCAGCGGTTCTTGAAGTCAGGAAATAATATAAGGGAAAATGGAAAGTTTAACATAATATTATTTTCCCTTATATTATCCCTTCCTCCATATATAATATTACCCTCTGGTTATAGCCATGGAAAATCCCTTATAAATGGAGGTTTTAGTGGGAAAACCATCCACAAATGGTCCATTTTCCATGGCTATGTCAAATAACCAGAGGGTATATAATCTTGGTGGGATGATTATACAAGGTGGTGCCCCCCCCAGTTATAAATGGGTTATGATCCCATGAAAACTATAGATATAACACATATAAACCATAGTTATTGGACTTATAAACCAACTTAGCTAACTATGGGGTACCACCTTATATAATCTTGGTGGGATGATTATTCCCAATATATGGAAAAAGAATCCTAAAAATCCTATATCAGTTCCAAACCACCAATCAGTAATCTATATCTGGTTGGTGGTTTTAACCATCTTGAAAAATATGCAAGTCAGTTGGGATGATTACCATATAATATGGAAAAATAAAACATGTTCCAAACCACCAACCAGCTTATATTATAATCCTATATCCTTTCCTATCGTATCCTATTCTATTTATTTATATACCCAGCTGGCTAGCTATGCATCCATCCATCTGAGATTTGTCCGCCCGTCCATCAATCTGGCATTGTTTTTTGCGGGCATTTTCCAAAATTCTATGATACTTGAAATGATTTTTGAAGGATGGTTGTTTAGTTTGTGATGAACCAGTGGTAGTTGCAGTGTTTCAAGTCATTTCATCGAAACTGATAATCAATGATGTTTTGCGGGGATGTCATGATGCTGAGAAATATCATCCCTATCCTCATTTTTCTCATCCTTATCATCCTCCCCTATCATCCTATCATCCTATCATCCTATCATATTATATTCCCATAGCATCCCCCATTCTCCTTTCCAAACTCCGTTGCCGCTTCGGCACCTCAGCCTCCAGGGCCCACGCGTTGCGCGTGGCCAGCTCCGCCGCGTAGTCTTCGAAGTCCGTTTCACCCATCGTATCGGCCTCGGTTTTCCGGGGATCCATGGAAAAGTTGCTATGGTAATCCTCCAAAAAATCTAAAAAATGGTATGGTAGATATGTATTATCTGTTTTTTTTACTATGGCTTAGCAACCAAAATATGGGGGTTGCCTAAAATGGGGGGATCTACAAAACCATAAATGTCAAGGGTATCCATGGCTATCGCCATTTCAACCTCCAGCAATCCCAAAGAATGGAGAAGTTGCTGAATTTACCGCTGCGCAAGCGTAGGATTCGACTTTTCTGCATCGAGGGGTGCCACAAGTTTCACAATTTTGGAGAAACCCATTGGATCCACCATTGTTTCCACAAATTTGGGGGTCGTTGGTGAATTTTAAGCCTTGAACCAATTGTCAGGTTGGCAACGCAGAAACTCACCAAACGAAATTGGAACAGGATGATGGACAAATATGGAAACAGGCAGGAAACACATAAACATATGTGCACAGATTGCATCGACATGATTCAATGATGTGTGGTCGCAGGCCTCGTATTCTATCATAATTGTCTTTCTATCCATATCTCAATCTGATACCTCAACCTGATATCTGGTCTTATTCTTGTATTCTTTCTATATACTAATATATGCAGTATGCATCTATTTATCATCATATATCCATTATATATATAATATTCATAATCATGTTAATCATGTTGTGCAATCTCATCCTTGATGCCTTTTGGCTCAAGGGTGATCCAAAATAGCTATCCAATCAGTTTTGGCTTTTCCTGTGACCCCTCCCTCCCTTATATACCTGTAATATATACTGTACATATATATATATATATATATGGCAGTGTGTCAAAACCTTGTACCCCTGGTGAACATCAAAATAGCTGGTAAATGGATGTTCATCCCACTAAAAATGGTATTAATAGGTATTGATCCATAGCCATATGTATACACACGTATATTTATCCCTATCTCAATTAAGCCATAGGTCATCTCATTCGATCTGCTGATCTGCTGATCGGGGCCCAGCCTCTCCGCCCGCAGCGGTGTCCACGGCCCAGCCCAGCTCACCATCGTTCTCCCCCTCGGGTGCCTCGGGTGCCTCCTGTGCCTGGGAATCCGGATGATTTTCCGCCAGAAAACTCGAGAACTTGAGGTTTTCTTACACAAAAATGAAGGATTGTTCAGTGTTCAGGAAAGCGCAGTTCAAAGATTCCAAAAAAAAACGTTTCAATAGTATCATTTTTTCATGGCCTTTAAATGGATAATTTTCAAGCATGAACCAAACAAGACATCTCTCTTGAAGGCTGAAGGCCTAGCAAAGCAAAAGGAAAACCGGTTTACTGTGACGATTAAACTATGTGATCATCAAAAAAAACAAGGTTGACCCCATCAGGGGATATCCCATCATATCTTTGTCTCCCCATCACCTGCAGAAGGATCCCAAGAATTGTGCAGCACAAGCTCTCGCCTGCTGATCATCTTCGAAATTCTCCAGGAGCATGAAGTAGTTGTCCACATCCTGAGATCATCTATGATCATCTGTTTGGATTGTGAATCGGTAAAAGAACACAAACAGGAGGCCCTTGCCTTTAATGATAAAGTAGGCAAAACTGTTTCTGCCCCCCAATAATTGACTAGAACGGGGCGTCCTGTGGGAGTGTGATGTTTGCTCCAAAAACCTTCAACAGAATGATATTCACGAGTGTTTATATGGTGACAAGGGGTCTGAACCCCGCGCTCTCTACTGTAACCAATCTATAATCTACCCTCTGGTAAACTAACATAGCTATGGAAAATCACCATGCTATTAATGGGTAAATCAACTATTTCGACTGGGCCATTTCCAATAGCTACGTTAGTCATTACCAGAGGCTATACAGAAATGATCTATACGAACACCCAAATAGTTTCGCTGGGCGCAGAGATCTGGACCTGTTGCATGATGCTGCAGCTGCTGCACGGATTTTCCAATTCTTTCCAATGGTAAAACCCGAGAAACTCGCATCGATCTGCCCGGCATCTCGAATCGCCGGGGCAAGCATTGCGAAAGAGAAACACATGGACCAATTTTTGGTCCACCTGGGCCCTCAACATCTAGATCATCGGACATTTATATCATGTATATTCATGTATATACCGTATACCGCATCATCTAGCCAAATTTATAGTTGATATTAAAATTCATCAGTTATATCAGTAATATAAGAATGTTGTATCACCGGCTGCCACCCTAACGTTTATCCAAGTCTCCCTTGCATCCATGTCGACCATCTTGAGGTCGGCAACAGGCACAGGCACAGGGCCAGCGGCACATGGCCAGCGATAGTTTGATACTTCTGGCGACGGCCTGGAGCCTACTGGTGCCATGTGCTGAATGCTGTGACTTCTGCATATGGATACAACGCAGGTCAGCATAGAAAAAGGATTGTCATGAATTGTCATGAATTGTCATGAATTGCTCTTCCATCCTACTCTCATGTGACAAATGTGGCATGTTGGATCTGGGAGGGATTGAATAAATGTCTCTGACACATGGGCAATAACCATGGCCGCCAGTGAGTGACCTCAGCTGTAACACTGTAAGTGGCTTGAATGATCATGGCAAACGTCTGTGCTCACCGCGTGAGATTCTCATCGAACTATGGGCTTTTAAGACTTGATGTATAACCTGAGCAAATGGCATGTTCGCAAAGGAGTGGGCGTCAATACTTCTACATGGCTCCTTCTTTCGACATCATGATCATCATGTGGCTCACTTCCAAGGACTGCCAACCATAGCCCCTGCTGCAGGGGCCTCAACACTTCGAATTGCACTTTCCCTGCATCCCCAAAGATTTGGGTTGAGGCAGTATACCCTCTGGTAAACTAACATAGCTATCGAAAATGGCCATTTATAGTGGATTTTCCCATTAAAAAATGGTGGATCTTTCCATAGCTATGTTAAATTACCAGAGGGTATCATAATATGATTAACCTGCATGTGATCAACCAATGGTATTTGATGTGGGTATAGATTTTCGACGATCCCTTGCAACACTTGGCCGTGCTCCGCCTCTGGTAATTGCAGCCAATCCGTACCTTACACCAGGATGTGCCTAACGCAATTACAAAAAAATAGGGAAAGAATTGGATGTGCCTGCTTTGGTGGCCAAGAAAACTTGGCTAGCACCGCACCTTGGACCAACTTATCATAGCATGTTTGGGGGTTCTTAGTGTGAGGTCTTAAATCATCAAAAACGACCCCAAGCAAATCATGCCAAAATCAAATCAACCGGTCATGTTTTTTTTTTGGGTCCCGTCATTTGATGCCCAGAGAATCACTGGAATGATTCCTTCAGCAAATCTTCCGATTGAACAAACATAGTTTGAATTGCTCGCTTCATGACTAGGTACAACAAAACTGGATATGGATCTGTTCCGGCCTCCCCACAGCTCTCTGTCTCTACTTGGTATGGAATCTTCAGAAAAAAAACTAAAATTCAATTTCATCTCATTTGATTGGTTTATATTGGTTTCTTATGTTTCTTATGTTGCAAAGATCAGGTTTTCCCATGGTTTTCCCATGGTTTTCCCATGGTTTTCCCATGGTTTTGACCAGCAAATCTTATCGAATCCAGGGGTCCCCGGTACGCCGCCGAGTGACGACCATCAGGTGCTGAAAAGGTGCCCTGGAGCGATGGAAGCAGGGGAAACAGATGGCTGCACAGATATATCACAGATATACCCTCTGGTAGTTTTAACATAGCTATTGAAAATGGTGATTTATAGTGGACTTACCAATTAAAAATGGTGATTTTCCATAGCTATGTTAGTTTACCAGAGGGTATATTTCTATATCATGCTATATCATCTTATGATATCTTATGTCATTTTACTTCATTTTATGGATTTCGGAGATGATTGGATCGTTACCTCAAAGCCACTGGGGAAACCAAATAAACATATGACATCATATTATATGACATCATATGACTCATATGACCAAGTTGATAGCCCACGTCATGATAGGTGGAATTTCGGTGGTGAATGATGCCCGCTGACCACCAATCCCTCCAACTCATGACCTTCAGCATCAACGCCCCCAAATATCCTAAAACCTTACACAAAGGAAAAACATGATGCATCTCCAAGTCAAACAATTTGCAGAGTTTAGGAAGACATGTACTTTTGACATCTTTTGACTTGGTTTTTGGCCAAGTTCGTGGAGGTTGCCAGACTTCATAGTTTGATGAGGATGGATGGGCACCGATGATCATTGCAAATCAATCCCATCATTCCCATACTCAGCAACTGACCAGCAGTCTGGCCTTCCTGCAGGTCCAAGGCGATGCATGGCAAATGTGCCGATACACTTTGGAAATCACCGGAAAACATTAGAACATATTGGAACCAAACATTGCCAGCGCAAGTATCTGAAAATGCCATACATGCTGCATGGTGATGATTCTGCGTGAGAGGGAGTGATTCCACGGGAGTTGCATGTGTCATAGCACCCCACACATGCCAGAGTAATCAATCCCTGCTGCCCTTCATTTTCCAGAAACGAAAAGGGTCAATCCAGAGCTGGTGAGTCTTGTGCTCAACCCTGCCAGCAGCTCTTAAAACTCTTGGGAAAAACCATCAGGATGATTGATCCATTCATTCTCATTTTGTGCCAGAGCCATCAGCACGTAACACTTTAAAAAGCTGGCCTAGCCAAAAAACTGTCAACTTCATAAGGATATATATCAAACCCAGTGGCTCACTGCTCCATCTGCAGTTGGAAATGCAGAGATACGGATCGATGTACCTCAGCTCATGTAGCTGCCAGCTTTGGGATCTGCCTGATGTAAATCCCAAACTGGTTGCTCGATTATATAGACATGATTAGATTTCCTTGATTAATAAAGGCCCGGAATTGCACTTAATTTTATCAGCACCACATTTTCCGCTGCTCATCGGCGAGTCACATGCATAAGGCAACAGCGTCCGGTTTACGAGCTGCCCGGAGGTGTGCACCTGGCGCAAGGGCGCAAGTGATAGTTTGCCTTGCCAGCAACAAAAGGGACCCACACACTATGCACTTCTGTTGCATGTAACTTTCACCATACAACTTTTGGGGTGATCAAATATATAAAACCATAACAACATCATGACATGGAAGCTGACTCTGCTGATCCATGACAATTCCCCATCCTTCAACCTAATCGAATTGAATTTTGATTCATCCTTTGTCGATCACATGCCACGAAATACAAGTACCCTATAGCAAGATTTCCTTTGCCTAAGATGCCCACCACAAAATAATGAGCGTTCCATTGGCTGCAATACCGAACATAGTGCCATCAACCGATCATCACCCAATCGCATCCTCACACAATCAACTCCCATGTTGTTTGAAAATGACTATATTTACACACACACATATATATAATATAATATAATAAAATAAAATATAATATTTATATATATATAATGTAATGTAATGTAGTACAATATAATATAATACAATATAATATAATATATCACCCAACAATAATCCGCAACCATCTACCCCCAAAAAAACTTGGCCAATTAGAGGTCATCAAAAAAAGAACTTTCCATCAAACAAGCCCATGGGGGGAGATGGTTTTTTCCTGGTAATTTTTCAGTCCCCAGTTCGATATCTCACATATTCCTGCCAGTTCCATGGTTCCAAAGATATCTCCAGCTTCACTTTCGGGGATTCGCTTCCATATTTTGGATACCCTCTGGTTATGTCAAAATAGCTATTGAAAATGGCCATTTATAGTGGATTTTCCCATTAAAAATTGTGATTTTCCATAGCTATGTTAAATTACCAGAGGGTAACTATTTTCCATATTTGAAACACCAAATTATGATCACTTCAAAATCTGCTTGGTGGTTTCAGCCCCACTGAAAAATGATGGAGTTCGTCAATGGGAAGGATGACAACCCATATATTATGGAAGGATTATCCCACACCACCAACCAGTTATCCAACGATGATCCCAAGCAGCTCCGGCTCCACCTCTGGTGGCATGGTGGGTGCCATGTGCATCTCCGGCCACTGCTGCGACGACAGCTGCAGCATCTGCAGCTGCAGCTGCAGCGGGCAGCCCTCCGCGTCGTGTTGCAAGGGCTTGGCGGCAAAGCTGCTGCGACGCCTTGGGGAATAGAACTTAAATGGCACCATCTTAGTGGGTCTATACATTCTTGATACGGAGTAATATGATAATAATAACAATAAATATATATATATACATAGAATTAGTTATTAATTAATTATTTATTTATTTCACGGTTCCCCCCCAACCCCCCTCCACAAAAAACACTACGAATACATCATGTTTCAAATGCAAGTTACTGGCTCCAAGGTAGCAAAAGGTAGTTTTTTTTTGGCGGGCTAGCTGCATATATTTTATGTGCGTGCGATTTGTAAATATAGAAACATATTAGAAACAAATCTTTCACCAAGCATCTTTATGGCAATACAGTGGTATTGTACACCAATCATCATGAACGATTGCAACCAGATCTAGTTGGGGGGTAGAAGCCAAGCATAAAGCATCACAAATAGGAAAGGTTGTATCTTACATATTCAACTCTTATACGCATGTTTGATTAGATCAACCATATTTGGACCTATCGAAACAATATCGCGCCCCAATATATACATACCGGCTGTAGAAACATATCTAAGAATATGTTCATACACATTGTTGCTTAGTTTCATTTTGTAAAAAAATAGTGTGCGGTTTAATATTGCATATCATCAATGAATCATGATATAAACTATGTTAAAATAATTAAAATATATATAATATAGCTCTATATAATATATATATATTGATTCATACTTTGAAGACTAATTACCATCATTGGCCTTCATTGCTTTTAACATGTTTAAACTATGGCACTTTCCATCACTGCCATGGCACTGCACCGGCCCAAAGCTGGGCGTCTTCGGCAGCGCCACGCGCCACGAGGCGGCGCTGGAGGTGTCCCAATCGGCGGCCTTGTAGGGATGCTGCCGCACCAGCTGACGATGCCTGGGGGAAAAAGGATGGAAACAACTCACTGGTGAAAGATGTGGAGACTGGTACACTATGGTAAACTATTCAGCCAAAAAATCTAGGTTATTTCACCAGCTGGAAAGAATTTTTTGTTTCACCAGCTGGAAATAAGATGAAACGGCCAATTAGAGTTCAGTTCAATCAACTGAAAATTGGGTACAGCCATTGACAGGGTCCGAAAATGATGGACTCACAGTCGGCTGCTTTTTCTTTGAATGAACTCACTGGTAAGTGGTATTTTCCTTCACCCGTTAAACGACGGTTTTAATGATTTTACGTAAGAAATTGGTGACTGGCAAAGAACAATCGCAATGGATAGGTGGAATGGTAAAGGGAATTGGCTTGATCCAAAAGATTCATCTTATGGGAATGTGCTGAAGACGAGGCCTTTACAGGTTAAAATGGGCTTCTGGTACGGTGGATGCGTCGGGCCAAACCGACCGGCTTCACTGCTTCACCCCGTCCCATCAATATCAGCCAATTGCTGGGCGATCCAAATCACACGTATAGATGATATTAGATGATGGTATATGGTGATATTATGGTGAGTAAAATCAGGATCTGAAACCACCAAGCAATAGCCAACAAGAGTCAACATAAATAAAAGTATCTGGAGACATCTGGAGACGAGTTGCTCTTCAAGATCCAATGCCATCAGCAAAGGTCCCAACCGCACAGTGCTTCCTTCTGGGGATTTATTCGTTACCGGCTCTACCTGGAAGTCCAATTGGATGGCAGGCTGTGCCTGTCGTGCGCCACGTGCCTCAGCTGATGTGGATGATGGCTGCCCTCGATCAAAATTTCCCGAATTTCCCTGTTTCCATGAGGAATATCATTCCATGAGGAATACGCTGTTCCAGAAAACATGTTCTTTCCATCTGCGCATGGCTTAAGAAAATCCCCAAAGTATCCCAAAGTTGGGTGGTTTCATCTTGTAAAGAACTGCCATTGTTTTTGCTCAGCTGCTGGGATCTCGAAGGCCAGGAAACCTTCCAGGAGTTTCCACTGCACCAGCTGCCCGTCCCGCTGTACCTTTAAGGTCCTGGGGTCCTGGCGCAGGAACTCGGGCACGCGGATTTTCAGCACCTGAGGGCGTCAAGAAAAGGGGGATGCAAGAATGCCATGTCCCTGGATTCAATGTTCTTCTGTGGGAAGCTCCAACTTCATCATCTAGGACGACCGTGATCATACAAATCTAGTATAATGTATATATATATATATATAAACTAATTATATATACATACACCACAACCATGATTATAAAATCACCACTACCGTCGTCGTCCTCATCCTCCTCCCCCCCTCCTCCTCCTCATCATCATCATCATCATCCTCATCATCCTCATCATCCTCATCATCCTCATCATCCTCATCATCCTCATCATCATGATCATCATCATCATCATCACCATCATCACCCTCATTGTCAACCTCATTGTCAACCTCATTGTCAACCTCATTGTCAACCTCATTGTCATGGTCTTTGTCCCTACACATGTTCATGTCAATATCATAGGCACATCAACGGCAGTCCAGCGAACAGCCAGTGGAGTAGGAGTGCTGCAAAGAGACCCCATCAGGTCGAGTATCCAGACATAAAAAATACATAATACAGAATCATTACAGGATCAAATCCCCTACTTCCAGATGATTCCGGGGCCTGGTTCTCTTGTTTGGGCTTTGGCTTCTTTAGATCAAGTTGCTGCAACGAAAAAAGCCTTGCTTTTCAAAGGGTCAGGGGTCAGCAGTCAGCTGCTGGAATCTGCCAAAAGTCAACCCCCTCATCCCTCATCCCTCTGCACAGCCAGGACACAAAGGCCTCTTCATTATGGATCCAATATTCCACGGAAGTGGCAAAGGGATATCCTGACAAACTGCGACTCTCCGTTCATCGCATTAACTGCGATGAACGAACGGCTCCATCCGGTTCCGAAGATGGTCCCAGCTCAGGGTGAAGAACAACACCCAAGTTATCCAATCAATTCCAACCACCAAGGCACCCGTTTTCAGCTCCACTGTGGCACCAATGCTTTTGCTCTGCATGATGCTAGGGGCCCATATAGCAGAAATGATCTCCTGCGTGCACAAAGCTTGGGGTCTTCGAACTGGCAACCTGCCCATACACTCTGACCTTCCAATGATGTCCTTGTTAAATCTGTTGCTTAATCTTTTGAATCTTACTGGAAGAATACAGGGACCACTTGGATAGACTGCTTGCGTTGATCTTCCTTTTAGATTGACCAACCAGTAGTTCAGGACCATCATGGACCATCTATGCGGCTTCCTATTGGTACACGGTCACCGGGATCACCTAGGGTGCTCTCCTTGCTCTCAGGCCGCTCAAAGAAGAGGTTCGCTGTGAACCTGGGGCGGCCGTGCAGTGGCCCAACATCCGACGCAAACCATCCGGGTTGACAACCCTGCCGGTGGCTGAGGATATATGATTCTTGAAAGAGGTTACCAAAGATGCGCAATCTGCAATACATCTGGATTTGTGCAAACACGGGAACTACCGATACCTAACTCATTTGTTTGTTTGTTTTTCAATTACCCTCTGGTTATTTAACATAGCCGTGGAAAATAGCCCATTTATAGAGGATTTTCCCATTAAAACCTCCATTTATAAGGGATTTTCCATGGCTATGTTAGTCATAACCAGAGGGTAATTAAAGTAGAACAAGGAGCGGCAATGAGGATATATGAGGATCAACCATGGCCCATTCCCAGCAAAAAATCCATCCTGCCCAAGGCGCTTGGGATAGCCTTGATGGAAGTTGGAGGTGCAGCAGGGGTAGTTGGGCTCAAGGCCATACATGGCTGACTGAGGACCATCGTGGGTCCAAATGTGATCCGGCCTTGCAATGCTGAGAGGATGCATGGCGGGTGTGCCATGAGGTCAGGACCTTGGTCATAGACCTCTCACATCCCCTCATCGATGTCCAAATGACATGGGAGACTCCAAAAAAAGAGTCCCTTCTGAACTTCATCGGATCCTCTTAATGTCATTGATCGCAGCCTACCCTCTGGTAAACTAACATAACTATGGAACATCACAATTTTTAATGGGTAAATCAACTCTAAATTGCAATTTTCAATAGCTACGTTAAATTACCAGAGGGTATCAGAGTCTATCATTCTGTGCTCCTAACCCACTTAGGACCCCATCCAAAACCCTCACCACCGGCTTCCCAGGTGCTCATTGGACAAGGCTTGGAAGGAGTTGGCCAGCTGCAGATAGGGATGTGACCACAAGTCATCGCTCAAGCTGCCCGGCAGGGCATTGAAGGCTAGTTGCTCCAGAGCATCCAAGGCTTTCCTGGGCAAAAAACGCTGGGTATCCAAAGTGGAGGGTGGACCTTAATCAACATGGGGTGGTTTTAACGCACCAACATAGGTAAAACAACCAAGCATGTTGGGAATCAAATATGATTAATATATATATATATATTAATATATCATATCAACCAACATTTCGAGGAGAACTTCTGGATTCCTAAAGGCATAACGAGCACGTCTCATCACGCCTCCCATGCTTAGTCAAAGCACATGTACCAATTTGATCAACATGTAATAAGCACTTTGTGGGTTGATCACGGCTAGTCCCATCACTCCGTTTGTATGTGAGGATTGACCAAGGACGGTCTTTGATTTTTTGAACACCCAGCTGTATGTCTCGTGGAAATACATGTCAAAACAAACAATCGCACAACATTTCAATTCACTTGGATGTCCACCCACCCAGCTGTGCTCCTATAATAATACACACATGTCTATCTATAGTTATACTAGGTATAGATTCTAGATGAACATCCCATCCGTGAGCAGAAACAAATATCTGTCATCAAACTTGATACAATATATCTGTCATCAATCATCCCAGGAAAAAAAACATAGAAAACCCATCATCCTCGCCATTTGTTTCCACTATAGTCTATAGCCTAGCCACACGGCATCCTGGTCCCTGGTTGCCAGCTGTGCAGTCAACACCAGCGACCACATGGACTCCACCACCGTGCAGAGTTCGGTGCCCCGGGAGGGCATGCGACCTGCATGGATGTTTTTCAGGCTTAGATGCTGAAGGCCGTGAAGTCTAACATTATCTAACATGATCCAACATTGAAACAGAAACCAACATGGATAGAACATGATGTGATCGAATATTCAGGATGACCTTCATAATTAAAACCGCTATGTTTGAAGCCGGTGACATTGTGGAATGTGAAATTCTCCAACAACGGCATCCATCAAACCTCATAGAATGTGACTATAGACACTTGAACATTCCAAGGGAAGCAACCGGGTGAAATAGGGAAGCACCCTTTTTCAAGACACAAATCTATCTCACATGCAGCAGAAACCTTATGCCTAGAGCCCAAGCCTCCACCAATCTCCACCACCATCACCATCCCACATCCCCAACCTGCAAGATGCTCGTCTGCCCCGAAAGCACCATGTGGCTGACCATGATAGCGTTGGATTTGCGACCATGCCAGCCATGACTCCTCAAAGCCTGGGGCCACGGCAGTGATCCAACGGCAGCGATTCAGTCCACTTAAAAACAACATCCACGAATTTCCACAAGTTAGTTTAATGTTGCCTGCATTGCATCATTTCTCGGAGATTTCACATATTTTCACATCAGCCCGTGGCATCCCGTGCCCCCATCCGCCTTTGGAAGGATCTCCGCTTTGACGTCCCCAAACCACACCGTGCTTCACCGCCTGCGCGTTGTTCACCCCATGGGTCTGCAGAGTATCGATCACCACGGCGGACTGCGGGAAGCGGCTGCTGTTAAACCTCAGCAGGGAATTGGCCAAGGGCTGTACTGATCGTGTCATCATGTCATGTATCAATATGTATCACATCTCGTGTCACATGCAAATCCGCCGATGTGAGTGGCTAGTCATAATCATACATGTATTATACTTATACGTAGCTGAAAACCAAATATGGATTCGAAACCCTGAACAAAAGCAGTCAAGTCATCCAAACTATCGCAACTTCGAGTCCTTCCAAGCTGCCAATCTTCGTTCCATGGGAATGCCAGGTGATGCAAAAGGGAAGCGACCTGAGCCATTAGCTGCAACTTGCCCCTACATGTTCCGGTCAACATCCACTATCCTTCCATGATATGCTGCTTCGCTGCATGACCTTAAAAGACTGCTCAAATCACAAAACCACCCACCTTCCGGAAAATCGGAAAAACTTAGTGACCCATCAGCGGGTGAACCCTTTCAAATCACGATCCAACGTTCTTAGAGATATACACGTAAAAACCTCCTACATTTGGATAGTGCATGAAGGTGCATGATAGTTCAATTAGTTTCTGATAGTTGCATTTAAGTCCTGTATATCCTTTACATCGAACAATCCAGTGTTTTATGTACGACTAACCCACAATACCTTGCAAAGAAATGTTCAGTTTGGTGCCCTCCCCCCAAAAAAATAAGCAATCAAAACACTTTCATTTGTGGCACAAAACATACATACCCGTAACCCAACCAAGGTTTGCCATGATAGTTCAGCAAGCATTGACTCATAATGCCCCCAGAAGGTTTAGAGTTTAGATCCATGAGAAGGTTTTCACCACCAAATAATGAGCAGCAGAACCAAAAATGGGATTCATGCGATTTGGAATGGGATTCATGAGATTTAGTATGAGACATGTTTTAAATCCAAAAAGGATAAGGTCAAAAGGATTCAAAACCTAGAAGGCATCAGTCAGAATGAAGCAAAGTAGAAATAATCAGCAGTATGAGGCTAGGGGGGCTGAGGGTGTTCTTTAACTAGGGGCGCACATGCACATTATTGGGGGGGCAACCCACCTGAAGGGGTACCCTTTATGAGCTTCTCAAAGTGCAACTGTTTTATAAGACAGTAATAAAGAAAATGCATGTTTTTTCAAATCAGAAATTTTAGGATTTTCCTAGATTTTCGGGATTCTGTGTGTTAGCAAGATTTTGATCAGACAAGCAGCTGTGTGCTGGAACAAAAATGCAGCAACGAGCAGCATGATTAGCAGCAGTTTCTATCAGCACCGGAACCCTTAGGACAGAAACATCAAAACCAAATCACGTTCTCATTACCAAAAAAATAGGATTTCTGAGCAGGGTGTTGTTTAATAGGGGGTCGCACATGCTTTTTAATAGGAAGGGGCCAACCCAAAGTAGTATTGCCAAACATTTTTTGAATGTGGGTGTTGATTAATCCGGGCTGCTTATTAATATGAACTTAACATTACAACCTATGCCTTTCTCCTGAAACTCTCCCAGTCGCCAAGGCACATCCAACATCCATTGCCCCTTCTTCGACTCGATGGGCAACTGGTCTACCTGAGATCATGGCTGAAAACAGCATGGACCACCGGAAACCGGAACCAAATGGGCTAGTGATTTGACGTATCCTAAGCGTACATTTTGAGAGCAATCTCTCTCTCTCTCTCTAATATATATATATATATTTGTACATAACATGATTTCAGCAAATTCATGGCGAGATTCGAGAGATGGCTAAAGTATTCTTTTCAGGTCACACAGCTGTTTTGTGAAATCTATGTAGCTATTAAATTACCACAACAAAGGCGCTTGCCTTAACAAAAAGCCACAAGCCAGGAGCTTCGCCCAGAAACGAAGTAGTGGATGGACCAAATCAAGTCATGTGCTCGGTAGGACGACCAGGACGTGACCGATGTGGCCTGTTGCAAACCTCAGGGCCCTCAGGGCTTCATTGCCGCTTTGGGGAGATTCTTGGGGTGCCCCAAGTGGCCCAGGGGCCCAGAAAAATCTCATGTTTGCCCAATGAAATCACCGGATGTTTGTCTTCACCGGAAGGCGAGGGACGTTCCTCCACCTGCATGAAAAATCGGTAGGCCACAGATTCGACTAGTTGCTTGCGACCCTGCTGTGAATCTGGAAGTGACTCATGATACTGCGCCAGTGCCATCAGGAATGGCATCCGCGACCAAAAATCTGAGCGATCCTGGGGGATGCGTTGGATGTGGTAGATAACTTGTGACGCAAAGGCTGTGGAGAACAACAGGGGAGTTGTCCGAGTTGTGCATTACACATGCACAAACACACACACACATATATATATAATGTATTATATTATATTATAAAATATATAATATTATATTATGTTATTATATATATATATGTGTGTATTGCATTATGAGAGATATACAATGCATACACACAATATATAATATACCATCATACATAATATAATATGGTGTGACAGCGTGTATTCCCAGCTCAGCTTTTCCAAAGTGGAATATTGGGCGGGATTGCTTTCGCCCAGAAATGATTCTGCTGCACATGGCCGAAAACAGTGACATGCAATGACAAATACCCTCTGGTAATGTCAAACATAGCTATGGAAAATCCCCATTTTTAATGGGTAACTCCACTATAAATGACCATTTTCAATAGCTATGTTAGTTTACCAGAGGGTACATGCAACTGAGACTCTGTGTCCGGACCAATCCAACCGCTCCGCTGCTGAAGTTTGAAGATAATATCAAGATAACCTTCGATCTTCCCTGGCTTTAAGCCATCCCCAAATCAAACTGCTTGTCATCCCAAAAGCAGGATAGAAAGTCAAATCGACCACCTGAAGAACATCAGTTAATGGTATTGATATTGATAAACAATCTCACACATATCCAAACAGGTGGTTCAAAATTAACACAGAAACCACCAATCAGAAAAGAAATTGCAAAAACATGCTGAAACCATCAACCAGCAACCTTCGATGGTGCCTAAAAGCTCTTGATCACCCAGTTGCACTGCAAGTGGGACAGCACCGTTCATCCAATATGGCAAGTTCTCGTGCAAACCACCGTCCACATCCTAGAGAAAAGGGAATGGCTGACAGAAGTGCAACGAACATTTGGTTTCAACAAAAAGCATCTCATCATCTGATCATACCTCATGAATACACGTATGTTCATTCATATATATTATATATATATAGTTATATTATATATATATGTTAATATATGCATGTGAATGTGTATATGTACATGTGCATATATATATATGCTGAGATGTCGAATGTACTTCTGCTTTTTGTGAACCTGTGGCTTCCAGGCCTTCAAATCAAATCCCAATAATGCAGCCATTGGTATCCCAATCTTCCGTGCCCTGTTCCTTTTCTGAGAGAGAATGCACGAGTTCTCTAATTCAAGCCATTTGCAGCCATGATCTCTGCCTTAAGAAAAGCGTAAGTGTTCATCAAATCTGCCTGTTTCCCACTAACTTACTGTAGCACAAATGGAGCGAACATGAGCGAACAAGATTTTTACACAGCTGTTTGGTGCATCACAATCCAAGAAATATCGAGAAACCAAACTACGAGGAAACGGTATGACTCGGTTACATTCACTTCTTGCAACCAACTGTTTCATCGGAAAACATCCCTTTAATTAATCCCAAATGTAGGGTTACTCATTGAGACCCCACCAAGCATCTAAGTCCATCTAGCTGACCCGCCAAGGCACGGCAAAGCCTCCAATCCAGGTGCTATTGGCCACGTTGGGCCAAAACAGTGGCAGGTGCGATGTCAATGCCTGGCTCTGCCTGCAGTGGCAGCAGGTCTGCTGAAGATATGTCTTTGAAGCTACGATTGCGTGGCAGAAGTTGCGGAAATGAATCTGAAACCCGAGTTTTGAACCATTGATATGGTGTTGAGATCCTAAACTAGATTTCAGAAAGTAGCCATAGCCCAATGCTTTTCGGGTTTGTTGCAATGATATTCTTTAGGAAAAAATGGAGGGGCTGGTTTGACAGACCTTTGTAGCCTCCTACAAGCAAAGTTAGTCAGAATTGATCATCTACTGTGCCAAGCGTTGCAGCATGGTTATAATATCTATTCCAGGATCCATGATCCCCTACTTGTGGACATGGTCACCGGATGTATTCATGGCCTTCAGCATTATACAAAACCGCAGTGTTTCCTCCCCACAAACACACCCGGGGGTACGCTCCAAATGTGCAGTCTTAAATGGCAAACAAAAACAAGAACAACCTTGGATGTTGATATTTCAAAACTATGTATATCCATATGTAGATGTATATATAATACACATACATACACAATAGTCTCATCTTCAATAGTCTCCCTAGTAGGCCCCAGTGCAGGCCAGGCACAAAGTCATTTGCATTTTCAGCCACCCTTGCGGCTCCACAGCACCAGTGGGCACCCGCTGCCATCGGCTCCCAACGAGTCCGCCCTCTGCCAGAGCCAGGACCAAAACACCCAGGTGAAGAAACATGGCGCAGGGCGCAGGGCACTGCATGTGTGGCTGGGATTTATGGTGCCATGACTAAGGACCCAGCTTTTGAGACTGGGGATGACTGGTGGGATGACTGGGGTGTGTATATAAATAAATAAATAAATATATATATATTATGTGGGTGCGTGTATGTGTGAAATGATAGAAAGGAGCGATGATGCAAACGGCCCCTTTGATTTGGCTGCTTGACTCTTTTTCGCGCCTGCAGCAAATTTCCTGAAGCTTCTGAGCCGAAAGCCACCATGGTCAGTATGCCAAGTTTCGACATCCAGCAGAAGACCACAACCCACAACCGCATCATCCCAAATCAAGGGGACAAAAAGGACTAACAATATCTAACAATACTAGAATACTTCCAGTGCCTTGACTTTCTTGCACCCTCGCAAAATCTAATTCCTGCCACTTCCTGTCATCCGCCACTTTTTCAAGGTGCTGCAGCTCCGAATTGACCCCTTGTCCAGCATTCAGGGCAGCGAAGAAATGCGAAGACATGGCGATGGCCGTTGCAATGCCTCGGGTCCAGTGGACTACATCAATCCACGGGGCGGCGGGGTCCTTGGCCAGTGCTGGATGATCACCACAATGGCGGCCACAATGGGCACCCAGTCTGATGCGGTATCAGCCAAAGCTGAACAGAGGCACAGAAGATCCTGCAAAACCACGGCAACTTGACACAGCCGCCGGGGGTCACTGCAGTTGGTTCACCTGAAACGTCCTGAAACGGAAATCCAGAGCTCTTTTTGACTTGAAAGCATGGGGCGTTTCAATCTACCGTATTTCAATGCCTTTGACTCCACTAGGCTTAGGAAGGTTGCAACTCTCCACCTTCCACCTGGTGGCCCCCCTGGATCTGCATGTTCACCCCAAGAGCCAGCTAACATCGTGGAAGGAAAAAGTGGAAGGAAAAACACCAGCTTTTGGTCCACAACCTGCTAGCAAACTTAAGCAAAAAAACCTCCAGTCGTAATCATACCCTGATATGATTTAATAGTACCCGCGTCATAATTATGTACTATAAATATCTATAAATACATATCAATACGTTTCAATACATCATTACATTAATGCATAATCAATACGAATCTACGTTTTTTCAGCTCACACCGGTGAATCCAACCATCTCCAAGCCCTTGAATCGGTGGCCCTTTAAAGGGGCCTTGCTCATGCGTGAGATCAAGCCACCAAGGCCATCAGCCGAGGTGGTGGGACCACACTTCTCCACGATCTCATCGGCCGCGGACTTGGCAGCACGTACTATGGCGACCTGGGGAGGCGGAGTTTCACAGGGAATGACATCAAATGTATATGATATATATATGTATTACATAGTAATTACATAGTAATCATTACTATAAGTACTATATATAGTACTATACTTATGTAAATGTCAATGTGTATATATTATATAAAAATAATGACACGTGATCTGTTCAAATATGTTATTGACGTTGAACCAAGGAGTTACCATGGAGACACACATGAGGATGATATTGGCCGGATGGGATATTTGTAGATAGTGCCCTATCTCTTATAGTACAGTAGCATTTATCATTATCAAATGCCCCACTTCCCAGCTAAGCCAGCACAATGCCAAGTACAAACAGTACAGATTCAGAAAATCTGAACTTGGGGGCCCCAGAAAGGGTACTTTTTCCTTTTGAAAGGGAAACACCAAATCAAACAATCCAGCAATTCAATGATTTATCATAATTCAATATCATGTCATTTACCCTCTGGTAAACTAACATAGCTATTGAAAATGGCCATTTGTAGTGGATTTGTCCATTAAAAATGGTGATTTTCCATAGCTATGTTAAATTACCAGAGGGTATGGTTTAGTATCCCTTTATGTAGATTGCCGCTCTGCATCCACACCAAGCGGCATAGACGGCAAAGAAAAAAGCGCACACAACAATTGCCGCTGGCAACAATCCAGTGGCATGGCGCTTGAAGTGATGGAGCACCATGGCACCAGTGATCAGTTTTTGGTCAGAGGCGCCGGATAGATGATTCACCAGGCCCCGAGTCTCTCTCAGGACATTAAAAATGAATATCTGGAACTGCCAATCTGGATCAACCAATCTATATATACAACTATATATATATAGTATATATATATCAATCATCTGCAGATCCTCCTTGGCACTTGTAGGTTGCTGCCCACTTGAGCCGACCGCTCTGGAAATCACTGTCGATCCACTGACCAGGAATTCGATAACAAAAGCAACTGTAGTACACACAAAAAGATTGAAGAGCAAAAAACTTTCACCCTTATAGTGGTGATTTTTGGGTCACTGTAAAACTGCAAAATAAACATCTTGTGTTGCCACCTTTTTTCCCGGAGCACTTTGCAGCATTTTTTGGCGGGTTGGGAACTGTAGCCATCCCCTGGGAGTGCGTAACTGGAACACACCGATCCACTCGACTCCCCGTGTCAGCCCTTGTTTTTCCGGCACTCCCAGGGCATGAGTTGAAACTGAAACTCTTCCCTGCTTGGGTTTGTCAGAATATAGCTCTATACCCATCCCAATTTGGTGGTTTTATCAGTTTTATCACCATTTTCCCCATTTTTTAGAAAATAACAAACATGATAACTCTGCTAATTGCTTAGAGGTACTGTAAACTCCCATGTTCAGACAAACCAACCAACTCCACTTTGCCTTCGCCAAATACCAGCATCACCGCAGCCCACGCGTCTCGCCATCCTCGCCATCCTCGCCGGCCAGGGGCAAGCTATCATACCTCGGTTGATTCATCCCGCACTTGGGCGTTGAAAAACATAAACGGACACTGCGTCCAGCATGTCACTCTCGTAATAACCAAAGCCCTAAATTTTCGGCCGCTTCAATACTCTTTTTTTACGGTTTTTGATGATTTTTTGGGATGCATCGGCTCGGCTGCTCGGCAGTGTCATCCCACACCATCAGTCACCATCCTGGCTGTTGAGTCACTCCAATGGATGTGATGTGGCCACATTTCTCCATAATGTCATCGGCGGCTGCCTTTGCTGCCCTGATGATGGCGAAATAGACCTGCCCAAATCAAATCATCAACCCGGTCCATCGAATTGTTGGATGGAATAGACCGGGCCAACAGCGGAAATCTGTAAGGATACAACCCATAGGATCCATGTATGCTATATATGGTGACATTTACCATCAATATACCCCAAATGTTAGCATATATGCCATACATGGATCCTATCGGTAATGATATAAGGGTGGTGAGGCATTACATCATCACTTCGCGGCAAGTTGGATTACATGCAGCCTTGACGCCAACACATGGAAGTGATAACACGGGTTCAGTTCAGGTTCAGGGGCTCTCATTTCTTAAAGTGCTCAACAGCTCAAATCTTCATCTCAACATTAAATCATCACTCCCTACAGAAACTTGCTTTCTCTTAGATTGGCCGGTGTCATCATGTGTCATCTGAAAACTTCCAGGGGTCCAAAACCCGGACCCCACCGGACCCCACCACGGTGAAAAACGCGATGGTCGCAATGGCCGCCGGCAGCAGTCCCGACGCGTGGCGTTTGAAATGATGCACCACCATGGCCACGAGAGGCCACACGCAGAAGTCGCCCAGGTCGCCCGTTGAGCCACTCGCAGCAGCGGGTCAACTCCCAAGGGTTTTTATGGGTATGGACGGTATGGAGATGGTTAAATGCCTTTTGAACACAGATATGATGGGATATTCGGAGATATTCGGAGATTGCTCAGCCACTAATCAGGGGCTAATCAAACATGCACGTTAACACTTCGATTGTAGATTTGCGTGATAACTTGAAGAACTTCCCATGCCTTCAGGGCTGCACTTTTCTCAGTGAATCGATTCAATGAACTTGCATCAAGCTTCTTCTGAAATCCTTTTGGCATCCTATCCACCTCCAAATATGCTCATTTCGATCTCTTTCCTTTGAAGCACAGCTGACATCGGCCCACGCCCCACACAGTTTCTTTTTTGTGTGTGTGTGTGTGTTTGCGTGTTTTCTGCTGAATCCCTATGATAGAATTTCTGTTCTCAGCATCCATTTGACACAAATTTACACTATCATTGCTACTGTAATTATTAATAATATACACATATATATATATTATATTACTATTATATTATATTGGTACAACATATTTCACCATTTAAATTCGAACACATCAATTTCCTCAGCTTTTCTGCTTCCTCCCGCAGCGCGTTGGCGCGGATGACCTCAAAGGCCTGGAAGGGAAAGTCCCAGGGCGGTTGGTTCACCCAGTGCTCCTCCGTCACCTGCGGAAGTCGTAAACGTTTTGTAACTGGGGTGTTGAAAAACTGCAGCCTCTTTTTTTAGATGGGTTTGTTTGGTGTAATATGGATTAATATGGTGTAATTGTATAATATCATATTATGAATATGAATTCAAAAAAGATATGATTCTGCATGATGTTTTTTTAATCTATTTATATCTATTTATGGGATTACATTGCCATGGTACTGCCATATGGGAGGAATATTTTGGAGATGTTGATGAAGGTTCATGGAGATTTTGGAGATGTCATTCCGCTGGTGGCACGACTTGACTCCCCCATCGCGTTGTGTTGTATGTATATATATATATATATGTGTATATGTGTATATATATATACTTGATCTCTGAAGAGCTACAGTTTTTCTATAGAAACAAAAAATGTGACAAAGTGAACAGTTCTAATAAAGGAGGCTTGCAAATCAGGCCTCCGCGGTAAAAAAAAAAAGAGGATGGTGGACTGATATTGCCCAACATGTAGACATCCAAAGACATACAATTACAGTACAGCAAAATGCTCAAATATCAGTTGTCCATTTGCCAGAGACATGCAGCGACCATGGGCTTGGGGCCGAAGCCAGTTCCATCCCAAACCAAGAACAAAGCCTGGCCATGGCCAGCTACTTGCTACTTGTTGTATCTGTGGACTGTGGTCCACTTTTTTGGGGCCATCCTTGCTCATGGCACGTTTGCTGGCATTGCCATGGCCTGTGCACCAGGAGGAACCAAGCCAGCATACTGCACAGTGGACAAGCTGTCCTGAGTTTGAATATGAAGTCATCACAGGAATCCAAAAGGGACACAAAATAACATCGCGCACATGCCGCAGCATGGCAAAGCTTCACGGTGTGCCGAGATTCTGGGTCCAAATCCAAGAACTCCTCAGGAGGGATGCTATACGGCTGCATCATGGCGCAACGAAGGCCGAAACATGCCGAAATCCTAAAAACAGATTAGAGGATCTAGTTAGGATCTATAAGATCTATAAGATCTATAAGTTAATGCAGTTTAAGACAGATTTGTCGAAGGACATGCTGGTGATGTCAGCAAAATTGGGCCCATTCAACCACACTTAAGTCCCTTAAGCATCAAGCTTCCAGCAAGCGCAACTCCCGGTAGACGTCGCTCAGAAACCACCGGCCATGTCCCCCACAGCCATGTGCCACCAACGGTTGATGTTGAGTAAATCGATTTCTAAGTCGTGGAGTGGGACCCTCCAGCTCAAAGTCCCAACCGCATTCAGGTTCACCCATGTTCCTCGACTGTGATGGTTTGCTTGGACAGAAAATCTGGGTTAGCTGCTTGTCAATGTACCAATGACTTTCCACTGGAGAACAGCGGTTCGGCAACTAAAATTGAGAGATTGCTTTCCTTGTTCTTCCAAAATAGACAATCGGGAAAGCAAGGCGTTCATGTATATATAGCCTTGATGGACAAAATTGAAGCTCCTTGCCCCCCAAAAAACTGGCAATTTCCCTCAATCAACAGTTCAACACATGGCTTTTGTATGCTTTTGTGCCACACCCGTACGCAGGTGCCCCGATGAACAGCAACATCATTTCAACATAGCTGCTAAATGGCCCCTAAGAGTCCTGATGTATCCTGGTGTCATATATGTATCCACCACCTATCACCCCATGATACCCCTTGGGCCCAAGGGTCTGAAACAAGCAGCACTCGTGGTCCAATTGAAATGGATAACGCACTCCACGTTCCTGCCAGTTCAACAGGAACTCCTGCAATCGCAGCTGATCGTCGTCCTGGCGTGCCACTGGGGTGGAACCGTCATAACCCTTCAAAAAACTGGAAATAATGGCATAATTAATGCAACTTAGAGAAATTAGATACACACACGCGCACACACACAGATAGATAGATAGATAGATAGATAGATAGATAGATAGAGATAGATAGATCGATCGATCGATCGATAGATAGATAGATAGATAGATAGATAGATAGATGAGATAAATTAGATAGATTAGATAGATTAGATAGATAGATAGATAGATTAGATAGATTAGATAGATTAGATAGATTAGACAGATTAGACAGATTAGACAGATTAGACAGATTAGACAGATTAGACAGATTAGACAGATTAGACAGATTAGATAGATTAGATAGATTAAATAAATAAGATAAATAAGATAGATAAGATAGATAAGATCGATAAGATCGATAAGATCGATAAGATCGATAGGATAGATAGGATAGATAGGATAGATAGGATAGATAGGATAGATAGGATAGATAGGATAGATAGGATAGATAGGATAGATAGGATAGATAGGATAGATAGGATAGATAGGATAGATAGGATAGATAGATAGATAGGATAGATAGGATAGATAGGATAGATATAGATAGATCGATAGATCGGATAGATCGGATAGATCGGATAGATAGGATAGATAGGATGGATAGGATGGATAGGATGGATAGGATAGATAGGATAGATAGGATAGGTAAGATAGATAGGATAGTTCAGGATGGATAGGATAGATAGGATAGATAGGATAGATAGAAACAATAGGATAGATAGGATAGATAGGATAGATAGGATAGATAGGATAGATCGGATAGATCGGATAGATCGGATAGATCGGATAGATCGGATAGATCGGATAGACCGGATAGATCGGATAGATCGGATAGATCGGATAGATAGGATGGATTAGATAGATTAGATAGATTAGATAGATAAGAAAGATAAGATAGATAAAATAAGAAAAGAAAAGATAAGATAGATCGATAGATCGATGGATAGATAGATCGATAGATTAGATAAGATTTGCTGAGATTAGATAAGATTAGATAAGAAAGATTAGATTAGACAGATTAGACAGATTAGGCAGAGTAGATTAGATAGATTAGATAGATTAGATAGATTAGATAGATTAGATAGATTAGATAAGATAGATAAGATAGATTTTATGATAAAATAGATAAGATAAGATAAGATAGATCGATAGATCGATAGATCGATCGATCGATCGATAGATAGATACATACATACACCACGTATAGAATGCATTAAAGTTTAAAATGCCAAAGGTATCAACAAATCAACGCATCACATTCACACAGTCACGGGAAGCAGGTGGAACAAATAGAGTAGAACATCAACTTGTACCGGTCCGGAAGAACCAGAACTTAGAAACTGTGGCATACCGCTCGTACTTACTGAAAATCAATGTTACCTTTTCATATGGTTTTGATGTTGCCAATGTCAACGCATCAGTTTATCCAAAATGGGGCAGCCGTCCAATCTATAATGGTTTGCCGTCATGTTGTCCTGATTCCACCACAAGTATAATGTTGGTTTAAGTGACCCTATATCACTCCATATATCCACATATATATATATATATCCATCATCTAAGAATGTTAACCCCAGTATCAACAACCTCAATAAACCACCGGTTCAACAATCAGGGGGGGTACACATTTTGATAATCATTTAACAGTCATTTCTCATGATTTTTCGGGGTGCTCCCCAATTCACCGTTTCGCAGTTTCACCCGTCCTGCTGACCATAGCTCCCACCCTCGGTGCCATGTACCAAGCCATGAATGAAGGCTGTGACCGCCGCAGCCGTGCCAGTGATGCAGCCCGAGTTGGGATAGCGCCAAGGAGTGGAGATCTCCGGAAAGTATCCTTAGGGATGATGCTATCCCAACTCGGATTGGCTCCCATGGGAGCTATGGGAAAGTATCCTTTAGGGAGCCAATGGGAGCTATCCTATGGGAGATCTCAACATCCATAGCTCCCATTGGCTCCCTAAAAGGGCCAAATTGATGGCCGGCCTTTAAGGGTCTTCAATCTGAATGACACACAGCGTGGCCCTACATCGCAAGGTTTGGGTAAATGACGAAGAAATGTTGTGTGAATGACAAAAACATCTGGGAACATGATGGGCAACGTAGATTGGCGGCGTGTAGAGACTTAGGTTACTTGACGCATGAAACGTGCATTTCACCTCCTGTAAGCTAAAATGGGCACTGAAACGGGGAACATGTGGAGGCTTCAAGTTGGACCGCCATTCCCATTTCAAGGCAACAAAAAATGTGCACCAGAACTACTCCGTGCTGCAGCAACAGAGACACCAATGCACACAGGAAAACATAATTAATAAACATACTGCACAGCACTGTGCCCAAGGAATAGGCAGTGGTCAAATGATTCAACTGACCGATGCAAACCCGTTGTGGCTATGATTCACGTGTGAAAAAATAAAAACAACTATAATATCTTATAATAACTTGGAGCAACCCGCAACCCTGTTTGATGTAAGACGACGTAAGAAGCCCCAGGTTCTCTCCATCTTGGGAGCCATCTTGTACTCAGGTGCACAAATGCGATCAGCCCCACAAAGGATGGCCCCCTCTGACAAGATCTTCATGGAATGCAGTTTTTCCACAAATTCCTGGCATTCACCAGCTAGGATGGGGGCAGGGCTTGGATGACCTGCATCAAGGGCAACGCTACACATTTCCTCCATTCGCACCCTGCCAGCCGCGCTGGCAAACAGTTAGAAAGCCCTGGCCTCAGCAGGACCCAAAAGGATGGTATCCCAAGCGTCCAACAGCAAGACAGCTTCGTTGGGTGGAATTTGCCGTCCCACCAACTCCTTCAAGGCCGTGTCGTACAGGAAGAGCTTCATACCTTGGGACTTGCCTTGGAACATACCTAGCATGATATGCCAATGACTTGGTGGGCTACGCCTGCAGTTGCTAAACCTGGTCCTTCCTATAGTATCAATACTATAATAAACTTATATAAGCATGACAGCATGAGCTTTTGGGACTCCTATTGCCGAACGACATCATATGCTATAGGAAGTGAACCCCAACATCCATCCAACACCCAGATCACCACCAACCACCATCGGTTTGAAGCCAAGCTGCCTACACCGGTGAATGGCTGTCCCAGGCCAACTGCCTGAAAGGAATAGCCGTGCACTTCCGCGCTCCTTTCCAGAATCAGCGTCTCTTGCCGATACCTCACCAGGGCCCAGGCGTCACAGCCGTCAAGGGTGGGTGACTCTTCATCGCCATAAAAGTCAGGATGAATCTCTTTCGTTGGTCCTGTATGGATCTGTATGGTCTTTCCTACTTCATTACAGCGTCCAAAGCACTGCCTCTGCAACTTCATGGGGCTGCCGTTCACACAATAATTAAATCATATTAATATGCTAAACCCAACAAGAAACCAGAATAATCATAATAATCATGAATAAATCAATATTGACCCTGCTATTTGATACCATTTGTTTACCCTGCTATTTGATACTATTTGGGGTTTCTTATCGAATTTACCACACCAGGACACTCGTTGCAGGCGGACAATATGTGCACCGGACTCCTGCGCGGCGACGTCCGCAGGCAGCGCCGCACTGTGGCGCTCAGCCGTGCCACGGCGGCCGCGGCGGTGCCCGTGCCGAGGGCCGCGCGGCGCCAGCGCGATGTAGCGGAGCGCTGTGGGAGGGCCACCGTGCAGCGCAAGGGGTGGTAGCCACAGGCTAACGCCATGGTTGATGTTTTCTGGCACCCAGGCTCTGACTTTTAGGATATTTCGGATGGTGACCAAGTGCTGGGAAGTCTGGGAAAACCTGGAAAATCAGAAGCGGCTTTACTTCAAGGGCATGTAGCGTAGGGTGCGATACTGTCAGTCTTGAAGGGCATGAGGTTCTTCTTGCAAACTGAAAGCGTGACAAACAACAACAATTTAAGATCTGAATATAATGCAACTTATATAGAAGGACTTTCTGAGTCTTGGTGTAATGATTGTTTATCCAGTTCAATGAAAATAATGAAATGGGGTTGTGGTTGGTCGATGTCATCTCTCTCTTCTGCAGCTTCATGATGCTTTTTCCACATAATCTGTGACAGCTCGAAGCAGCAGGGTCAAATTATTATTATATATATGTATATATATGAAGTTTGTGGCAGTCATTCACCACTTTGGACACAACACCCGGCTGTGATGTGTCTTTCTGGATGAGGTCTGGATATTTCTTCAACTGTTGAATTTGAACGTCTACCAAATGATGCAAGATATTTTTTTCCACCCCGACTCTCCTTCTGCATGCGAAAGAGTGGCAGGGTCACCTGGATCATCCCATCCATCCTATCTGTCTTCGATGACTATGATGACCTGCCGGTCCCACCAGTTGGCCTTAAAATGCATTAAAGTTCCAAAGCTTTGCAAAAGGACTTCGAGCATTTGACCTTGGATTGGATGACTTACATATGACTTACACCTCATTCAGAGCTGACGGATAACTTTGGATTTCCTGTGAAGTTTCTCCCCAGGCCACACCTGTCCAGGTTGCGTTGATCTCATCGTGGCCTAGCACAGGCTTTGAAAAGTGCCATTGACAGGAAGTCGCCCGACCCAAAGTTACAGAACTTGCTGCTCAAACCACGCTATGTAGATATATCTAGAATCTAGATGAATCTAGATGAATCTAGATGAATCTAGATGAATCTAGATGAATCTAGATGAATCTAGATGAATCTAGATGAATCTAGATGAATCTAGATGAACCTAGATGAACCTAGATGAACCTAGATGAACCTAGATGAACCTAGATGAACCTAGATGAACCTAGATGAACCTAGATGAACCTAGATGAACCTAGATGAACCTAGATGAACCTAGATGAACCTAGATGAACCTCTAGATGAATCTAGATGAATCTAGATGAATCTAGATGAATCTAGATGAATCTAGATGAATCTAGATGAATCTAGATGAATCTAGATGAATCTAGATGAATCTAGATGAATCTAGATGAATCTAGATGAATCTAGATGAATCTAGATGAATCTAGATGAATCTAGATGAATCCTAGATGAACCTAGATGAACCTAGATGAACCTAGATGAACCTAGATGAACCTAGATGAACCTAGATGAACCTAGATGAACCTAGATGAACCTAGATGAACCTAGATGAACCTAGATGAACCTAGATGAATCTAGATGAATCTAGATGAATCTAGATGAACCTAGATGAACCTAGATGAACCTAGATGAATCTAGATGAACCTAGATGAATCTAGATGAATCTAGATGAATCTAGATGAATCTAGATGAATCTAGATGAATCTAGATGAATCTAGATGAATCTAGATGAATCTAGATGAATCCTAGATGAATCTAGATGAATCTAGATGAATCTAGATGAATCTAGATGAATCTAGATGAATCTAGATGAACCTAGATGAACCTAGATGAACCTAGATGAACCTAGATGAACCTAGATGAATCCTAGATGAATCTAGATGAATCTAGATGAATCTAGATGAATCTAGATGAATCTAGATGAATCTAGATGAATCTAGATGAATCTAGATGAATCTAGATGAATCTAGATGAATCTAGATGAATCTAGATGAATCTAGATGAATATCTAGATGAATCTAGATGAATATCTAGATGAATCTAGATGAATATCTAGATGAATCTAGTATATATATCTATATATATATGTCATTTATGTTGCCAACAACAAGGGAAAGAGCTGCCGTGACTCTTCCCATTTGGCTTCACCTCCCCGGACTCCCGGTGTCCTGCTCGATGTCCGCATCCCGACGATTCCCGACGCCACGACCTGGGGCAGGACATGACAGGAGCCCCATGGAGCCCCTACATATCATGGCATATCATGGCGTAAAAACGATCTTGGTCAATGTTCCTGGAAAAGAATGGTATCATGATGTATCATGAATGGTATCAGAAAATTTCACCAACGTGATTGCACCATCATGCTCAAACCAAACATGGATGGGTCACCCACTTCCAAACGCGGCTAGCGGCTAGCAGCTAGGACAACATGATAAACTGCAAAAGTAGGCGCTCTGGTCAAGAACTAACTACTTTTTCTGACCGATATCTCAAAAAATAAAAAGAAGTCAACAAGCTAGTCTCCCAGAAAAAAGTGCTACAAACGAAGACCTAGGACATGTGGCACCTAAAGTTGGGTAGAAAATGACTAACACTCATATAATTTACAATACTAGACACCTAGTGGCCACTCAGAATTGACACGCAGAAAGTGGAAGATTGCTGTTGGGATGTTTTCCGGGCAACATCTATAGTTGGTCCTGGCTCCATATTGTAACCAATGGACTTGACTCTCCAAGCCGAGCCCTGAACGGCTCCATGACAATTGCCACACACTCCCAACATCTCCCAACTTCCTGGCATCCTACAGCAACAATGACTGGGTCCTAGGTCATCTTGCACGAAGACATCAATGAGTGCCTGCTTTCTTTCAGAGAAGCTCGAGAATCACACATCAATGGACTTTCTTGTCACAAAGGACTAGACTATGACTCAAATCATGTGGTCAAGACCAGCACTTTAGTACAGCTGCTAGTTGCAAAAAAAACGGGGCCGTGGCCCCCCCAAAATCACCGTACATATATTAAATCAACATCAAAATAAGTCGAGAATAAGTCTAATATTCTTATGTGGTAAACCGAATGGATAAACCTACAAGTATCATTTTTGGGAGATGGTTTATAGGACCCATTTATGATGATTTTGTAGATGACTTATCATGGGGACCCAAGATTGACAACTCACACTTGTAAAGCCAATGACCCGAGTCTCCCCACTCAGCAGGGCTACGAAGACATCGGAGGCCCCCAAGCCACGCCTAGGCGAATATCCTTGTGGTAAGGGATCGTGCCCTGGGCAATCGCTATCTTCAAGAACACGTGGGGTCCAATAGCATCAATAGCCCATGGTCCCACGACTTATGGAAACTACCCTCTTGTAAACTAACATAACTATGGGAAATCACCATTTTCAATGGGAAAACCCACTATTTCTATGGTCATTTCCAATAGCTATGTAACAAATTACCAGAGGGTACAACCAAATGATCACACCTTTAATCATCCTATATCTCACAGCACGTCACTAGGGGCAGTTGGTTAAGCTGGACAGGGCTGGACAACCAACAATACCGAAGAACTGGCACCGCTACGGAGCAAAAAAAACGACCACAGTCCACCGTCCATAGGTCTGTTTGTTTGTTTGTGTGTGTGATCTCTTGAAAATTATCCCAACAACATCAGTTGACAGTTGCAGCATGTGGCAGCTCAATTTTACGAGCGCATTGTGGAGCCAAAACACGCGAGCCCTCAGTTCCACTCCGACGAGTGTGCACGAATTTACCGACTTCGCAGCTGCGACTGCTATTGTTCCATCTTCTGCATGCTGTTTGGGAACCCAGTTGGTGAGGTTCAACCCCTAAATATAGGAGCCACTTGAGATAATCAGCAGGTTGGCATGCCACATCCAAGAAAATAAAGCCACACAATTGGAATGCATGCCATCATATGCCATCCATGCTCACCCTATCAAAGTAAACGGTCAACGGAGTGTTGCGTGGGTTAAGACCTCCACAAAATCCTTTCGGCACCGCTGCGAAGTCGTTAAGCTGCAAGGCAGCTGTCGTCTCGCCATTGTACTTCATAAAAGTTCAAATTCTGGGCGTAAACAGCGGCCCCCTGGAAACTATATCTCTCATTTTGGTCCAGATTTGGTGGGATTCAACTGGATGAATTGGTGATCATCTTCCCAGAAAAATACATGATATATCATGATATTATGTAGAAAGTGCATCAAAATGCATCAAAATGCATAGGTTTAAGCCACATGGTATCGGTATCCGTGTCCGTTTCCACGTTTTCCAGCCCTTGGACTCTCCGATTCGCATGGCATCACCCTGGCCGACAGCTATGGCAGATGCTTATGGCCCCGACGTGGTGCCACGGCCCGGTGGGGAAGCGGCTGCATGACTTGGCGCACGCGGGAACTGCGGTGAACATATGGTGCGTCTAACGGAGCAGCGTCTCCTGGGTGGAAACTTTGAGGATTCCATCAATTCCATCTCTTGGAATTGTCCAGTTTTGTCATATCTGTTTCCTAGTGAGGTCTTGAAGGATTTGAGCTCCGACTAAGTGGATTTCAGGTACCAACTGGTACTAGGGATTGGGCTGCCTTGCCAGTTTCTATATTCTCATCATCCTTTCGGCCAGTTTCAAGGATCGGGACGGCAGCCCAACCCCTGTAGGAACAAGCCACGCCTGTGCTCAGTTGGCTGCTGCATCAGCGGCAGGTAGGTAGAGAAACTACAGGGGCCAATTATGATTTCTGCTATTGTGATTTTCCTTCCTGCTATTACCAGTTCAAAATGTTATTCTATGCATTTCTGTGCATCATTTCTGTACATCTTCGAAAACAGGAGATACCCTCTGGTAATTTAACATAGCTATGGAAAATCACCATGTTTAATGGGAAAATCCACTATTAATGGTCATTTTCAATAGCTACGTTAAATTACCAGAGGGTAGAATTTGGTCAAATTTGTAAACAGTTTTTGCCTTTGGATGCTCAATGATGCAACCTTTCACTTCTTCGCCTCGATTCGCTGGTACATGGCCTCGGCATCGCCATGCGGTTCCGTCGCCAACTCAACCACTGCATCACTGCCCAGGTTCAATTGGATTCAACCATAAAGGCCCTTGATGGTCTTCATATTTCATCACGGTCTTACAGCACCCAAAAAAAATCAAAAAAAACTAGACAAACAACTATCACCAGGCTGGGAGAATAAAGTGAATAAGAACAAAAATCATCAAAAAAACACATAACATGGTTTAAGCATCCGCTACCAAGTCATGGCGCCAAGTCCATGGCAGCCATGGCAGCCATGGCACCTCCTCCGCCTCGTCATCAGCACCCGCCTTTTCCTCCATGATTCCATCTGCCAGCTCCTTGTTCAACTCCTGGAGGTCCTCCATCTCCTCCTGGAGACAGAAAAAGTATGAAAAAACTCGAGATGTTCATGGCAAACATGTACTTTAAGATACTTTAAGATACTTTAAGCACAAGTTCGTGGGTATAGTTGAGCTATGTTATGATGAGTTATGATGAGTTATGATGGTATAAATCGATGGTAGGTGTTCATGGTACCTATGGTACCTGAATCCATTACGATGGAACCAACACCGCAAATGCTTCGCAGCGACGCAGCGGCATGCGGCACCTCTGGAAGGGCATCGGCCTGCTTTCGGTGTGCGTGGATCATGCGGTTCTTTTCATCCCTCAAGGACCTTGGCAGGACTGCTGATATGGATGGGGCTCGTCATGTCATGTCTTGTCCATGTTTTTGGCACAAATGGGGCAAAGTTACTGCTTTAATCTGCTTTAGATATCGATGATATGCCCGAGCCATGGCACTTCTTCAGCACATCCACCATGTGATCCACTGCCTCCTGCAATGTGGCCTGTGCATGCTTCTCCGGGTTGGACAGGGTTACCTGGCCGGAAGTGGTCAGCTAAATTGGGGGATGGGGATGGTCACCTTCCTGACAAAATCTCGTAATAGAACATTAGATTATTATAGAATTAATATATATATATATATAAATAACAAGATAATATTGGCATTGCAGAAACCCTGTCTCTATTCTCCATCATGACCATCACAATTTGATCTCGAAAAGATGAAGTTATCATCTTCATATTGAATAAAGGACATCAATATTTACCATCCAGGGGGGCATGGTATTTTTGAAATCCCGAGTAAATCTCTGGAACAATGGACTGCTCCAAAAATCAAAAACCATCCAGCCTTGTGGTGGTTGGCCAAGGTCACAGTTGCCTTGAAGATATACCTCGGTAACCAGGCGATTGTGGTTCTCTGGTACTGTGACCAAGGCCAGGAGTGCAAACAAAATCCAAGACAATTCTATCTGAGTAATTGTGAATGTTATATTCATAGTATATAATGTATATATCATTGCATGTTAAACAAAATGTAAATATATGATCACGTGCATAATACATATGTATATATATACATACATATACTATACATATATACATATATAATATATAATCATATTATATATATCTATATACATATGCTTAGGTACATACATGCATCTCATTTATAGCATACGATCAGCTCATGCTGGATCTTTACCATGACTCCGTGGCCACAGCTACCAAGCCACGGCGTCAGAATCTTGTGGCCAGGATTGGATTCTTTGCTCACTGCGATGTCCTCCTCCTCGTTACGTCGTTGCTTTGACCAAAATCATCCAAAATCTATGGGCTACCCGGCCTGGTGAACTAACAGTTTGCTATTGAAAATGGCCATAGAAATAGTGGATTTACTCATGAAAAATGGTGATTTTCCATAGTTTTTTGTATGTTTACCAGAGGGTACCGTGGATTGACACTGGGGCAGTTCCTGGAAAATATTTATCCCCATGACGTCCCAACGGCCTCAGTCTCCAGCAACTCTCCACCTTTCTTCCCCTTCTCAGGGCGTTTCTCACGATGGAAGTGTTCAGAGACTTGCCTAAGCCAGGTGAAGTTGGAGGTTCACCTCCAGTTTTTCGACTCTGAATCCCCAGCTGTAGTGGAATGATAAGGGTATGTTTATGGGATGTAATAGGGCATATTATATATATATATATACAGTATATATATATCTTTTTGATACTTCTGTTTGGTGAACGTCGCTTTTTGTTAAGTCTCTCTCTCTCGGGTTTGAGCTCATAAAATAGGAACCGTTGAATGGGAAGATTAACCATCAATACTTGGACTGCGAACAGCCATACGATCAACAAGAATCTGCTTGTTGCTTAAGCCACCCCTTAAACATCCTTAAACATGCAAATAGAAAGGCATGTACTACGGAAACAAAAATGAATGGATTTTATGCATTCCGAAATCACAAGCCGGTGTGTATCTCGCGGATCCTTAAACACTCATAGTTTCCCATGGTGCTTTGTTGCGACTGCCATCACCTGTCACCCTACAGCCGGGCAGCAAGTTCACTTCTACGTGTTTGATGAAGTCCTCAAACTTCTCCATGGCGGATACCTTGGGACCGGGTGGGTCCACAGGGCTGGACATGGGGTTTTATTATATTACCCTCTGGTAATTTAACATAGCCATGGAAAATCCCTCATAAATGGAGGTTTTAATGGGAAAATCATCTATAAATGGGCCATTTTCCATGGCTATGTTAAATAACCAGATGGTATATTTTTGTCCTACCAACTTCCGTCATGCTACTCTGACATGTGAGATTCTGTGGGTTCTGGTTCATTGAGATGGTGGTATTCTACTCGCTGATGCAAAATAACGCCAGTTCACATCCAGTTCCGTTTCTCCCTTTCTTCACCAACATGAAACTTCCCTGTCGCATTTTGGGAATTTGTTTTTTGGCTGAAACCACGCGACGCAGCTTTCATCAATTTCCCCAATATTTCTCAGCTCTGGTGCCACTTTCTCCTCGATGTAGTGCTTGGCATTGCTCTCCTCATGGAGGTGTTTGTGCTGCGGCAGCTGGGTCACAATGTGCAGGGTGTAGGGCACCTGGCACTGGCAGCACAGGCAGCACTTGGGGTGATCAAGGCACTGCATTGCCAGAAATATGGGTGTTTCCTAAAATGAGGGATCCCCATTTTAGCTGCTTAGCTGGATGGTTTATACTGGAAAATCCTCGCAAACATGATTCAGGATGATTTAGCCCTCTGAATAATGATTGATGAATGTCAATGTCAGTCCATTTTACCCATTGACATTGACATTCATCAATCATTGATGTTACCCAATGATTCAGGATGTTAGCATATTATATGTTACCCGAACCCATCCCGACCTCTCGTGTCTCCCCACCCCATCAGTGCAGCTCGGCGACGCGACGCTCGGGCATGGCTGGCTTTTCCTCTTCTGGCGCCTCCACCGGGTCGGGAGGAAGCTCGTAGACGCCTCGGCGCCGCAGGGGCAAGCGACCACGACCGGCTACCCAACAACCACAGTGTGTAAGGTGGTTCAGATGCTTGAGAATAGGTGGTTCATAGATTAATCTTGATAGATGGTCTATTCATAGAATTGGACGATGGGAAAATTTACAGGAAAGCCCTATATTTCATGGTAAAAACCATGGTCTCCTGTAGATTTTTTCCCTTAAACCAATCCAGTGATCTATGACTCTATGAAATCTTATTGAGTATCTATTGTTGTGGGGGCATTCATGCGGTGGTTAAATCCCACTGATGCATCAGCCTGAAGGCGAATGGTTTGATGGTCGGGATGTCTATTTTCAAGACGTCCTACACCGCAAAAAAAACAGGCCCAAATGACCCACATAAATCAATCATCAAAAACATCAAATACCATCAAATATCGCTTGTTCACTTGTTTACTTGTTCAATCGAGACTATATCATCAACACCAAATCACAAACACTATACAATTATATATCATACCCAATTCAGGCATGGGAAGAACTTATCGGATTATCGATGACAGGACCGCCAAGTGAATGAACTACTCATTGCAAGCAGAAATACATTCCTTTGCTTCAAATCATTCAGATATGACCTGCCCACGGGCAGGGTATGTAAGACAGGTTTCCCTATTCTGCCTCGATTTTTTTCTAGTATATTGAGGGTTAAGACGAGCAACTGTCTACAATGGCAAAGGTTTGCTACAATGATGCCTCATTACTGTGATATGTTGCATAATTGTCGTGAAATCGTCATTGTCTTTGCCAAAAAGGTCAGGTCCTGGTTGTATTTCAGAAAGGTCCTGGTTACTATGGTTCTGTCTTTATTCATAAGCTATATTTAATTAATTTAACTGACTATATCTTCACTTGCCAAGCGATCCAAGCGTCCCTCGAGCTTGTCCTTGTTGCGGATGTTTCCATGCTGCTGTTTCCGGTTGAGGCCAGATCCCATGGGCGCCTGATAGGCCACAGAGCTGACGGTGGTCGCCACCACGAGGCCGGCCAACATCGCCAGGCCATGGCCGCTCCTGTCGAACGTTCGCGGTGTTACGAAGCTCAAGGCATGTTGGGGAGATGTGACAATATATGACAATATATGATAATATATATATATTATATATATGACAATATAATATTAATTTACATTGGAATACGGAATGTCAGCAAAATCTCTAGAAACCCTGGGGTTTGATACGGTTTGACCATCTGAGACCAGGATTATGTACCCAAGTCGCACCAAGAGCCCCCATGCATCCTGGGACGAACGGAAGCTCGGCGAGACGGCATGGTTCCAATGGCTCAATGGGCAAGGAAGATTCGGCCGAGCGGAAGAAAACCAGCCAGATATTTGTTGGAATTGAGCATCTTGGCTTGCTGCAATTCAGCTGACCTGTGATATGCTGAGTCACTGTGGCTGTGAGCCAGGGTTTGCGGATGACATGTTCGAAGGCTAAGAAACACCCTGTGGCTCTGCAGCCTATGGGACCTGAGCAGCTTCTGTTTGCCCACTTGACCTGCTCAAACTTCGGCGCTAAAAAAACCTTGCCCAAATCATCCTGCATTGATGCTCCGTAAGTCCGTAACATAAAATTGCAGTATAATATATACGTTATAAGGTCCATGTAGTGCCTATGTAAGGGACCGGCTTCCCAAATATATTATGCACTTCCTTTGTTCTATGGCACAGCACTTCCATTCTAGGCATCTGTAAAGGCAATTGGCATTTCCAGGACTGGCAATTGCAGGGAGTTATCAACTGGACAACCCCGTCAGACTACTTCTCTCCTGGATCTTGTTAGTCGTTTCCATGACAATTGTCGAGTCCTACAAGTTTGTGCCGGGTTGACCCTGTTGTACCTATTGGTAAGCATTATATATACCAGTGATGAAGGATAAATCTTCAATGTGTTTTCCTAATGTTCAAGGGCTCAAGAATCTCGTCAACTTACAGCATCAGCACATCGAATTTCAAATATTTCAAATCCGGAGGCCAAATATACTGAAAACACACACTCCATATTAGATAAAAATATGTCTAGCCTAGGCCTAGGCATGAATTGCCATGCCATCCACGCCAAGATTGCTTCTCCTTTTTTCGTGAGTCGAGCCAGGAGCTTTTCGCCCCAGCGGCTCATCGTTTTTGGGGCCCAGAGGGGGGCCAGGTTTCTGCTCAGCTCACGCCCGCTGCGTTGACACCTCACAACTCGTCATGCGCCTCCTCCTCGTCATCCTCGGCACCGGCACCGCCAGCACCACCGCCGCCGTAGTACTTAGAGACGATCGGAGCCTTGGAAAAGTCGTGCACTGCGTGGTGCTTTCAATACATGCTTTAGATAAGCTATGCATTTCCTGTTTTACCAAGTTGTTGAGCTATTCACTGTGGCCTGTAGCTTAAGATATCTTTAGAATTCTTTAGAAATGTTCCACCGTGGAGCCCAACATGCCTTGTGTGATGCTACCAAGAGACGCAAATTCCTTCGACCTCCTTGTGCTTCTCCTTGATTTCCTCAGCATCTGCCTCTGGGTTGGAATCCAACCAAGACTGACCATCCTTGAGGGCATCCAAAATCTGCTCCTTCTCCTTAGCAGGTCACGCTTCGTGGCAAGCCGTTCGGCTATGCTCAGGCGTCACAGGGTTCGCAGCAAGTTGGCTACAAAAGCCACAGGAAATTAACCGTCTTTGAAGCCTGTGGCCCTGTTCTTGGCAATCGAACGCATTCACTAATCATTATAGTTCCTACAGTACAAGAAGGAAATGACATGAAACATCATAATCATAATTACATTGTCAACACATGTCAACACCACAATGGCTGCTTTCCCCTCGAGGCCAAAAACAATGCATCACTTAAGCCGCACGGCTGCCGCAACACTCATATAAAATCTCCCCAGTCGGCCGATGTCGCCTACCCTCTGGTTATGTCAAAATAGCTATGGAAAGATCCACCATTTTTCATGGGTAAATCCACTATTTCTATGGTCATTTTCAATAGCTATGTAACAAATTACCAGAGGGTACATACTTATAGTGGATTTTCCCATTAAAAATGGTGATTTTCAATAGCTACCAGAGGGTATCACTGCAGCGCAAGCTTCATCGGAATCCATCTTTTCACTGAGACCCTTGTTGTCTCCGGAGCCTTCGGTGGCCGAGCGCATGGAATGGATGTAGCCGTCGAAGGCGTTCTTCGCATCAACACGTTCCTGGGGCGCCGCGAGGCTGGTGGATCCTGGTGGATCCTGGTAAAGTACACTCTGGTAAACTAACATAACTATGGAAAATCACCATTTTTAATAGGAAATTCCACTATTTCTATGGAAAATCCACTATAAACTATGGAAAGATCCACCATTTTTAATGGGAAAACTCACTATTTCGACTGGGCCATTTTCAATAGCTACGTTAAATTACCAGAGTGTAAAAGATTGGAGAATCCCATGGTAGATGTAGGCACACTGGCGGCCACAAATGCGTGCAAGAAAAAAACAATGAGAACAAGAATGGTAACAATATGATATGGATTTATATGGCAAGAAAAGTATTGTCCTTTTTTCTACCCGTAAAAAAAACAGTACCCTCCAGTATCAAACATGGCAATCGAACTCAGTGATTACGTATCAAGTCCCACTACTTTGTAGATGATTTTCTCATGTACCATCTGGTTATGACTCACATCGCCATGGAAAGGTCCACCATTTTTAATAGGTAAACCATCTATTTCTATGGGCTATCTATACCATGGCAAACTGTTACCCTCTGGTGAACTAACATAGCAATGGAAAATGGCTATTTATAGTGGATTTTCCCATCAAAAATGGTGATTTTCCATTGCTATGTTAGTTCACCAGAGGGTAGTCATAACCAGATGGTAATATCCCATATCATCCCATGAAATTCACCATGGTTAACCACAGAAAATCACCATTTTCCTAGTGGTTAAATAACCAGGTTGGGTAGTTATGGCCATTCATTTCGGGATTTCCATGGATAACCATTTGGTGCAGCCTGGACACCTTGACCTTCTTGTCCTCATCCGCAAACTCCTCGGCCTCGCGGATCATCTTCTCGATCTGTTCTTCCGTCAAGCGGCCCTTGTCGTTGGTGATGGTGATCTTCTCCTGAGATTGCGAAGTGGAGGCCCTGGAGGCGATGTTTTTTTCGATCCAAAGGCTTCAAAGGATCCACAATGGGAATCTGCTTGGTGGTATACCTACCCCTCTGAAAAATATGAGTTCGTCAGTTGGGGTGATTATTCCATTTATTCCCAATATATGGAAAGTCATAAAAGCCATGTTCCAGTCACCACCACCCAGCAATCAATGGGAATCTCATGGAATTCTGGACCCATCGAGTTGATGAATACACCTTAGGCCCTCCATTGGGATTCCGAACGCAACGCCGCAACGCTGACGTGACAGTCGCACACAACGACTGAGCAACTTGGATTATACATCCGTCCCGTAGTATGTACCCTCTGGTAAACTAACATAACTATGGAAAATCACAATTTTTAATGGGAAAACTCACTATAACTAGGGTATTTTCAATAGCTATGTTAAATTACCAGAGGGTATGTGAACAAACACGTTTGTGCCAGTCGCTCATTGGTGACTTGGAAACATAACTCAGAGCGACCACCATCGACCACCAAATTCATAGCTTTGAACAGTCTGGGTTGGGATCCTCTGAACCAGACTGTGACAACTTTCCGAACAACTTTCAAGATTGAAACTGCAACCATCATCAATGGCCATTTCAGGAACCTAAATTGGGGGTACTTACCATATATAAGGCCTATATAAGGCCTTAATTTCAGGGAATATCCCCACAAAATATGGCCTGAAATATGCTACAGTACCTCCAATTTAGGATCCTGGAGATCTCCCATTGACATCACAGCTCAGTGGAAAACATGTTTTCCAAGACATCCCAAGACATCCACCATGCACGTTTCAGGCCCAGCCACGCTCTTTCCGGTGCCCTTGTCTTCTGCACCTGGTGTCTTCATATTTTCATGCCCTGATATGCCCTGAAACAAGCTGGTTAACGGACCTGGGTGCGAATCAACATCAGTGACCCCAAACAATGAGTCGATTGTGGCAGATTGATATTCAAAACATCCAACACCCCTGGTCAACGAGAGTTTATCAAAAAGGCACAGGGAAATCGAAAGGCGTCACACAAACAGAAGCCAAATACCAGATTTGAAGACACGTATTTCATGCTGATGATCATACACTTGGGACATTGAATCATCTTATAGATCATCTGAAATCCACATTTCAAATGGAAACATCATCTGAAAACATGCTCGACAAACATTCTGCCATTTCTATCCATTTCTGCCGTTGGTTAAGCATGTTAAACATCCTTAAACATGAACAAACCACCAGCCCCTGGTGCCGCAGCAGGACCTACGTTCAAAATGCCGTTGCTGTCGATCTCAAAGGTCACTTCAATCTGTGGCTGACCACGGGGAGCAGGCGGAATCCCGCCAAGCCTTGGCTGCCATGGGAAAGACTGGGTGAAAACCCGGTCTTTGTTGGTTTAAGATGGCTTACCCTCTGGTAAACATACAAAAAGCTATGGAAAGATCCACCATGTTTCATGGGTAAATCCACTATTTCAATGGCCATTTTCAATAGCTATGTTAAATTACCAGAGGGTAAGGCCGGTCAGTTATAATTTGCCGTAACACGGTTATAACAGCACGTTGCATCTGATAAAAGGGGGTAAATGACTTCAGAAGTGCCATCGAACCATCTACATCATTTACTAAAGGGAACACTTATAGGTGTGGTAGTGGAAGGCTTCCTGGGAAGAGCGAGGCATCTAGCTGGCTGCCAAGTAATCCAAGTAGGCTAAGTAGGACAAAGAAGCCATTCATTTGAAATTCAATCGGTTTGGAATCGGATTCCAAATCAGCCCCACCAGGCTCGAAGTGAATGCGTCACATTCCTCGGGAACAATTATCCAATATAGATCTAGAAAAATATACTAATACTAATTTAATATATATATATAATTATATATATATATATACATATATATGTGCAAATCAGCCATCATGCCATGGGCAAGACGCAATCTCGTGCTTGCCAGTGATTGAACACAATGCAAACTAATTGGCACTAGTGTCTTACACTGGACATTCCCAACATTGGACGATCTTCCCACCTATGGTATCTACTTCCCCTGCTTACATCCTTGACCACAGCCATGAAGCTCAAACTTGCCCAAGAGGTGGTTGTCTTTGGTCATGGGCCGTTCACCTCATGGAGTTGCCCAACAGGTGCAACTCAACATTGTTGCATTGAAAGTTGGTTGGGGTGACAGATTTCATGAAATTTCCAATCCTCCCCAAATCCATGTTTGTTCCACTAAATGCAGGTTTTTCGGTTGGCTATTTTCAGACGTGTTCCCATCTATGGTACCCCCGCTTTTCATTGGATGGTTTCGATCATCTTTTGATCGACTCACTGCCTTCATAGACCTGGATGTTCACTGCTGGCTGGTTGTCCTGGCACTGATGCTGTCCATGACACGCAAAACCTCCTCGTATCTGTAGTTGCCTGCATGTGTAAATGAATATATATATATATATGAATAGATAGGACATCAGGAATATATTTACATATATTTATACACCCTGATGGAATAAAGCAATATTTATACACACATACATACATACGTTACATTACATTACACTACACTACATTACATTATACGTTTATATACATAATATATATATATATGTATATATGTATGTATATGTGTGCATTATACCTGCGCATGCATCCAGCCATATAGATAAACATCATAGATCCATGACTTCATATATGACATTGCATAACCCCATCCGTATACAAATACAATCAAATACATACAACTTAACAATTAAAATAAATTATGATCATCATGATGCTGTTCATCTATGCCTTCATCAGCAAAAGCCAAACACTCCATCAAAACCCTGGAGACCTCGTGTTTTTCACAATCTATTCGTCGTTTTCCAGGAGTTGCAGGGGCAGCATGCCATGATCAACCCATGTACGGCTAGGTGCGGCCCAGGGTGGTCGCTGAATTTCGCAGTAATGCAGTAGTCGGCTTGGACCAGTGTGGGTTCACTATCCCAAGCAAGTCGAACGAAGGATCCACTAAATGTGTTTGGAACATGTTTAAAGCATGGATCGCTGGAAAGAACTTATCAGCAATCACTGTGAGGCCCCAGCTGTAAGTCCCACCAACAGCAAGCAGAATCCTGGTAGGTGGAGAAGACCTGCGACTTCTTGGTTGGGATCACCTCAGTGAAGGTCATCGATGGCACGCTCTTGACAATGACATGTTCTGATGCTCGCAAAAGAAGCACTGGAAAATAAACCCGTGGCAGGTCTTCTGAAAAACTCTCAAGAGAGGAGCACACCCGCTTATATAACTTTGCCTACTAGGAAGCATCCACAGATTTATCATTCACAACACTGATTTTACTGTCCACCCTGCACTACTCATTGGGACCTGCGGGATAGCTAAGCGGCAGTGTTTCGGGAGATCAGCTTGGTCATTACACCTGGCCGGGCTCCAAAGTTGGCCTCCCCCAATTGATGTGTCATGGTGGGTCGTCTTCTTACTCAAGCAATACCCTCTGGTAATTTAACATAGCTATTGAACATGGCCATAGAAATAGTGAGTTTTCCCATTAAAAATGGTGATTTTCCATAGTTTTTTGTATGTTTACCAGAGGGTATCAAACCTTGGGAGAGCTGAATGTATCTGAATGTACTGATGACTCAGTCACCCCATGGATATTAATTGGATCTTGATGGCGCCTCTTTTCGCCAAAATCTATGGATTGATGGTTGAAATCCCACACTTTTTAAAGGTGTAAACTTGGGGATGGTGGATCCGCTGTTGATATCTCCAGATAGGTGGATATCCCATATTCATGGTGGATATCTCCATATAAGGTATGATATGGTATGATGGATCATAAATGGTGGATATCCCAATTCATCACCAGATATCGAGAAATCTCCAGTATCTCCAGCCAACACCCCTGCGATCCCCGGCCCTTTTCGGCGCCTCCAACGGTCTCAATGCCCAGAGTCAAGGGGGTCACGTCCAGCAGCAACAGATCCTGTCCGCCCTCGCCGCTCAGGATTCCGGCTTGCACGGCCGCACCATAGGCGACAGCTTCATCCGGGTTGATGCCGCGGTTGGGCTCCTTACCTGCAACTGGCTGTTCTGTTCCAAAGGCAGAAAATCAAAAAAAATGTGGACATACTATATATATATATGGCGTGTGTATATATATATATATAATTATATATATATATATATATGTGTGTGTATGTTAAAAACATCTAGTATAACATGACACATTAAGGATCCTTAATGTTGATTTCCAGGGATTGCCCAAAAACTTGACCCTATATCCACTCTGCCAAGTGGCCGTTGAAGAAATCCTGGCGGTCTGTCAATGGCTCCATCCATCCCGTGGATTCATAGAATAGGGCTGATTTATAACTGGTTAATAGTGATTAATAATGGATTAATAGTGGCTTAATAGTGGTTAATAATGGGATGATTTACCTGCTTGGTGGTTGAGCCATCCCTCTGAAAAATGATGGAGTTCGTCAATGGGAAGGATTTTCCGAGATATTATGGAAAATAAAAACTGATCCAAACCACCAAGCAGTTTTTATTCAAGTTTACCCTCTGGTTATGTCAAAATAGCTATTGAAAATGACCATTAATAGTGGATTTTCCCATTAAACATGGTGATTTTCTATAGCTATGTTAAATTACCAGAGGGTAGGATGTGCAATGACACTTTTCAAGCCATCCTGCTGTTCAACAAAATCTGTCTCCCCAAGGCCCCAGCAATTGGACCCCCAACATCTTCTCAAGCCGCGGGCTTCCCGATCCACCCCAGAATCAGCGATGACTGGCATGGCAATTGTGAAGATCCGCTTGCCAGATTTACCATAAGAATATATAAGAATTAAATATGACAAATCTGAAAATGTGGGGTTGTTACGATTGCCATGCTGTCTTATCAATCCGATCTATCCAATCTATCCAATCTATTTAATCTATCGAAACAGTCCACATAATCTATCCATTCATCCGTTCATCCGTCCATCATCAATCCATCAATCCATCTACCCTCTGGTAAACTAACATAGCTATTGAAAATGGCCATAGAAATAGTTGATCTTCCCATTAAAAATGGTGATTTTCTATAGCTATGTTAAATTACCAGAAGGTATTCAAAAACATGATATGTTCACTTCTTTCTTACCCTCTGGTAATTTAACATAGCTATTGAACATGGTGATTTATAGTGGATTTTCCCATCGAAAAAGTGATTTTCCATAGTTTTTTGTATGTTTACCAGAGGGTAATCCATGGTGTGATTTCCATGATTTCCATCTCAGCTTCCTTGCCGATCCCCTGGGCTGTCCTTGATCAGCTGTTGCACCTTGGGGATACGAGTAGAGCCACCCACCAACACGATTTCGTCCACCTGGTTCTTCTTCAGACCTGCTGTGCCCCTCAAAAATCTGGAGGCTTCGGGGAGAAATGTGTCTTTAACATTTGAGGGGATATCATGGGTGTGTGTGTGTGTACAGACTGTATTCATATGCATAAATAAATATACATACATATATATATATATGGGTATAGGCCTGAAGACGGAATAAAACAAAAGGAGGGTTGGCTTCTGGACTTGGGGATTGGGGGAAGCAAAACTCACGCGCATCGCGCGCATTGAAAAGTGATGTGGTGCCACGCGGGCCACCTGAGTCTTCCAGCACTTGCTTCACCTCAGTTCGTGTGGTTTCTGATGAACATCAAATAGGCTACCAATAAATAGATCCAAGATGATCCAAGTAGTGGGTAAGGTATGGGGGTATCTTGATGTAAACCCAACTTCACCCACTCCATGGTGGCCCTTCACTTGAATCAATTGGGGGTTTGGGCACCCAGAATCCAACTCTAAGCCTTCAAAGGTGTTGCTTTTTAAGGAACTGCCACCATTTCTCTACAGTGGGATGGCAAAACATCCTGGCAAAATGGCTATAGATATTTCGCTTTTTTGGGGGGACTATACTGACGGACACCGAGTTAGAACCTCAAAATTTTTCCAAAATTTGGTCGCCCAACAGTTAGAACCCCAAAAAAATGCACACTTAGAACCTTGGTTTGCAAAGGGTTCTAACTCATTAGAACTTTGGTTTGCAAAAGGTTCTAACTCAGGGGGTAACACCAACCAACTATGAGAACCGCATCATTTTCCTGCACGCATCAAATCTTGTCATTTCAACTTGGCCGCTCTGTTGCGGCAATGCTTGCAAACTCTAATCGCCATTCACTTTGGACAAAATGCTCAGCGTGAGATTCAAAAAAATGGAAAAATCAAATTGTATGTCTTAAACTAAATTTAACACACACACAAATATATATATAAATAAAATAAATTTTAAAGATAGGTTGTTGGATAGATAAAGAGATTTGTCCCGACCCATGGTCCTGGCCAGAGGTTCTTGGTGTGAGCACTTAAAAGGGGCGCACACACACACACACGCACATGTGAGTTTGCTCAACACGGGTTCATATACTGAACTATCTATGATACGGTTTGTTGTATACTTGTGAATATATGTAAAAAGGTTCTAAGTGTGAGCACGCGCAAGGGCACAGACATATGTGAGTTTGCACAACATGGGTTCATATACAAGACTATCTGTGATATGATATATGTATACTTGTGAGCATGTGTGTGTGTATGCAAAGAGGCTCTAAGTGTGAGCACTCGCAAGGGCACAAACATATGTGAGTTCGCACAACAAGGGTTCATATACAAAACTAATCATGATACGAAATATGTATAGTAATACTTGTCAATATATGTATACAAAGAGGTTCTAAGTGTGAGCACCCGCAATGGCACGTACAAGTGTGAGATTGCACAGCACGGGTTGATATACCAACATATCTGTGATGGAATATAAGTATACTTGTGACATATGTATGTATGCAAAGAGGTTCTAAGTGTGAGCACGGGCAAGGGCACAAACATATGTGAGTTCGCACAACATGGGCTCATATACAAATGAATCTGTGATGTGATTTATGTAGTCTTGTAAGTACATGCATGTATACAAAGAGGTTCTCAGTGTGAGCACTCGCAAGGGCACAAACAAGTGTGAGAGTGCACAGCACGGGTTGATATACCAACGTATCCGTGATATGATTCTTGATATATGTATACTTGTGAGTATGTGTATGTATACAATGACGTTCTAGGTGTGAGCACTCGCAAGGGTGCAAACATATGTCAGCTTGCACAACATGGGTTCATATACAAAAGTATCTGTGATGGATTATATGTATACTTGTGAGCACATGTATGTATGCAAAGAGGTTCTAAGTGCGAGCACTCGCAGGGGCACAGACATATGTGAGTTCGCACAACATGGGTTCACATATAAAAGTATTTGTGATATGATATATGTATATTTCTGAGTATATGCATGTATACAAAGAGGTTCTAACTGTGAGCACTCGCAAGGGCACAAACATATATGTGAGTTCGCACAACGTGGGTTCATATACAAAACGATACATGATACGATGTATGTATACTAATACTTTTGAATATCTGTATGCAAAGAGGTTCTAAGTGTGAGCACTCGCAAGGGCACAAACAAGTGTGAGAGTGCACGGCACGGGTTGATATACCAACATATCTGTGATGGAATATAAGTATACTTGTGACATATGTATGTATGCAAAGAGGTTCTAAGTGTGAGCACGGGCAAGGGCACAGACATATGTGAGTTCGCACAACATGGGCTCATATACAAATGAATCTGTGATGTGATTTATGTAGTCTTGTAAGTACATGCATGTATACAAAGAGGTTCTCAGTGTGAGCACTCGCAAGGGCACAAACAAGTGTGAGAGTGCACAGCACGGGTTGATATACCAACGTATCCGTGATATGATTCTTGATATATGTATACTTGTGAGTATATGTATGTATACAATAATGTTCTAGGTGTGAGCACTCGCAAGGGTACAAACATATGTCAGCTTGCACAACATGGGTTCATATACAAAAGTATCTGTGATGGAATATATGTATACTTGCGAGCACTCGCAAGGGCACAAACATATATGTGAGTTCGCACAACGTGGGTTCATATACAAAACGATACATGATACGATGTATGTATACTAATACTTTTGAATATCTGTATGCAAAGAGGTTCTAAGTGTGAGCACTCGCAAGGGCACAAACAAGTGTGAGAGTGCACAGCACGGGTTGATATACCAACGTATCCGTGATATGATTCTTGATATATGTATACTTGTGAGTATATGTATATGTATACAATGACGTTCTAAGTGCGAGCACTCGCAAGGGCACAGACATATGTGAGTTCGCACAACATGGGTTCACATTTCAAAGTATCTGTAATATAAAATATGTATATTTGTGAGTATATCTATGTATACAAAGAGGTTCTAACTGTGAGCACTCGCAAGGGCGCAGACATATGTGAGTTCGCACAACATGGGTTCACATATAAAAGTATTTGTGATATGATATATGTATACTTCTGAGTATATGCATGTATACAATGAGGTTCTAACTGTGAGCACTCGCAAGGGCACAGACATATGTGAGTTCGCACAACATGGGTTCACATATAAAAGTATCTGTAATATAAAATATGTATATTTGTGAGTATATCTATGTATAAAGGAGGTTCTAACTGTGAGCACTCGCAAGGGCGCAGACATATGTGAGTTCGCACTGTTCGCACAACACGGAGTCATACACAAAAGCATCTGTAATATGAAAAATGTATATTTGTGAGCATATGTATGTATTCAAAGAGGTTCTAACTGTGAGCACTCGCAAGGGCACAGACATATGTGAGTTCGCACAACACGGAGTCATACACAAAAGTATTTGTAATATGAAATATGTATATTTGTGAGTATATCTATATATATGTATACAAAGAGGTTCTAAGTGTGAGGAGTTGCCTCAAAGTGTGCACTGGCAAGGGCAGAGACATATGTGATTTGGCACAACTTGAGTTCATATACAAAAGTATTTATCATGCGATATGATATATGTATACTTGTGGATATATGTATGCCTGGAGAACCAAAACCCTAAGAATTCTTCGGGTCAACGCAAGAACCTGAGGTATTTCGATTGAAGACCTCGGGTATTGATTTTGAACCCGTACTTAACCCGTACCTAACCCGTACCTAACCCGTACTTAACCCGTACTAACCCGTACCTAACCCGTACCTAACCCGTACTCAAAATGGGTTTTAATACCCCGGGTTTTGTCAGAAAAGCTCAGGTATTTTTCAAACCCTAAGATTTCTGCGGGTTTTGGTTTTCAAGGTGTATACAAAGAGGTTCTAAGTGTGTGGGTTCGCGAGGGCAGAGACATATGTGAGTTTGCACAACATCGGTTCATATACAAGAGTAGCGATAATATTATACATGATTATATAAGTATACTTGTGAATATATGTATGCTTACAAGGGGTTCTAACTGTGAGTGTGTACAAGGGCAGGAGCATATGTGGTATATGAAATGTGGGGTTCTAACTGCGACTAATTTTAGAGCTTCTAACTCACGGAGTAAGAACCCGGCCAGATGTACGAAGTCCGTTTTTTTTTTTCCCAAAATAGGTTCTAACTGGGTGTCCGTCACTATAGGGTGATTCATGGTTTGGGCATCTGTTCCTGAACCAAGCTGGACACAGACTTCTGTTTACTTCTCCCAACTTCAATCCATCTTTCAAGAACAATGTGGCATTCCTCACTCTTGTGGCGAAAGTCACTATGTGGCCAAACCATATTATCAAACCATATTACATAATTATATATAATAATCATTAATTCAACCAGCATCTTTTAGGTCCTAGGTGCCTAAGCATCTTTTTTTCAGCCCCTGCTTTTTGACAACAGCCCAGACCATAGGGATTTTCATGGAAGACGTCCCCCAGGATTTTCGTCAGCATCTCACCATCTCCAAGTCACTGGTCCCAGGGTGTTTTTGAACAAATCCGCATTCAGCTCCTCGAAGCGCGCGCGTGTGAGGGTCTCGGAGAAATCCACACCTTAGGGCGAGGTCCCAGTTATGTCCAGTTCCTACAAATATGATCCCATTAAAAAAAAACGGTCCAGGGGAAAACAGCGGTGATACCTGGCATTGATACGCATTGATACTTGATGATGATTGATAATTTGGTCAACATATCTCAACATCGGCGATCCCAGGCCCTCGGGTGGTTGTGTTTTGCTTTCAAGTTTCCTTATAGGCTGGAAGCCGGCAAATGGTCAGATGGAAAAATCAAGGCATAAAATAACGCAGTGGAAATTGGTCGCAAAAATAATGGCGGAAGAGTTCCCAAATTATCCGAAAGAAACCTGTCTCAGAGCCTGCACTCAAAGCTAACATCTCTATATAGTGCCACACATGTGTCATCATATGGCTGGGTGTCAAATATGTTCCCCCTTGTTCCTCACCTTCATGGCCAAGCAAATAGTCAACCAGTGGCCAAACATACAGCCGATCATGAATCATGCCCTACTAAAACCATCCATAAGCTACGATAATTATGATAAGCTACCATAACCTACCATAACCAGTCATAGCCAATGGATCTACAGGCAGTCTACAGGGCCTCTATCCATATCTGGTTGGTGGTTTCAACCCCTCTGAAAAATGATGGAGTTCGTCAGTTGGGATGATGACCTTCCATTCCCAACTGAATATTGGAAGTCATATAAAATTCCATGGTTCCAAAATGTTCCAAAGCACCAACCAGATATTCTACTCATATTCCCATTGTTGTTGGTTTATAGCCTATTAACCACTATGAACCATCAACCAGGGATGAGTTTCCACCCATATCCCACATCAAATCATCTTCCGCTCCATCTCCCATTTCTTCCAGGTGGCCATCGTAGAGGGCTTCAATCTCCAGTCGCGCCTGGTGGGTGGAACTCAGCGCCCGCTTGGTCTTCTCCACCTCACGGCGGAGCTTCTGGATGGAACGTTTGTCCTGGGCCAAGTCGGGTGGTTGTCGCAAGAACCGGAAAAATATATATTGTATTATAGATATATTTACATATATATATATGTAATTATGACAATTGTATTATATATATATAGATATTATACAGTTTGATTGAAGTTGTTTGGTGACAGGTTTGACTGGAAGCAAACTAGATCTGAATAAACCATTTGCATCCATTTGCTAGAATATGGGAGTGGGATGAATCAATACCCAAAGAACATCAAAGAACTATGGATCTAACTGCCTTGAAAGTTGGAAGGTCACTGGATTCAGTGTTAGCCCCCTCGACAACCAAGCATCAAAATGACAAACATATAGTCACTATACATGTTTCAAAAAATTGTTTACTCATTGCCCGCATGCAGCAGCCAATAGCTTTTCATAACCAAAACACACCAGCATATCTCGGTGACATAAAACATCTACTTCTGTTTCCACAAACAAAAAGTTAGTCCACAAGCATTCGCACAATCTCAGGCATTGAACATGTCATTCACAAGGTGGTGCCCCATAGTTAGCTAAGTTGGTTTATAACTCTCATAACTATGGTTTATGGCAGATATAACTATAGTTAATGGGGTTTATAAACAAACTTATAACTAGGGGGCACCATCCTGTCAGGACCAGTTTTTTTGAGCTCGGCTCAGTTCAACCGAGCCCATCCGGCGATCGATCCGTCCTTGGACATGTCCTTGCCATGCTTCTTCCTTGGCGGCCAGTCTGTCGGACTGCAAGCAGTTCAAGATTTGGAAAAACCCCATGACCCCAGTTCACCAATTCGGCAATCATCCCGTATGGAAATTTCTAGGTAGAATTTAAACACCATGATGTTTGACAAAACACTTGAAAACCAGGAGAGCAAACACATACCATTGTATTCACAGCACCGGGATGACAGTATTCAAAGAGATATCAGGATAACAAGATTCACAGTTCATACACTTGGCAGGTTGAATCAGCAGTCAGTGAGAAGAACCTCAACAACCTTTTGGCTTCAAACAGAAAATGGTTGACCCTTAATGGCATATGAAGCTTCAAATCTTCTCAAAATGATGGTCTTAGCAATGGACATTCCGAACCAAAGGGGCTGTCCTTGGACTTTTGAACAAACGTCCTCCTCAAAAAGGGGTGCCATATGGTGCCATCACCAGTTTGAAGCTAAAGACAAACACACCCAAAGCAGCAGTAATTAGAACAGATCACCTGGACATTGGTTAATATGGTTTAATAATCGCATGTTTTTATCTCTGCGTTTGCAACGGGAGTTTCTGGAAGATCTTCATGAAGTGCTGCATCACTCGCTGATCCTTGGTGACAAAGCTGCGCCAAAAAGTGCGACCGAAAGAATCACAGCAACCACTTTGGGATTCATTGATCTTTCTTGGGCCAAATTGAGCCATTAAAAATACCCCATATCCCATCTCAGTATACTAGTTTCCTGATAGGTTTCCCTACTATGGGTTATCATATGTTATCATAATCCCCAGTGAATTAGGTAGCAAAATTCCCTATAGTCACGAATAAACCAGGGTATTTTGAATGGTTCAATATGGTTCAACCAATAAGATTTCAAAATCGCAGCATTGCCATGTCATACCAACCATCTGCCACTGAGCCACGAAATCCTCTCCTCCCAGATGGGTGTCACCGTTGGTGGCTACGACCTCAAAAACGCCATTGTCGATGGTCAGGAGGGACACATCGAAGGTACCTGGGACGGAGTCAGGGTTGTTTGATGTTGGTAGGTTGATCCCTTGAGCCAGTAGACATCCCAAAGCCTGCTGTGGATGTGTTCATTTGGAGCCACAAAAAATCTGTTCTATGATTGTGAAATATGACTCACAAAGGATACTGAAAATTAATTGAGTATATCTATCACGGATCGGACTGACCCAAATTCAGAACGCACCAAATAAAAACATCGACATGAAGAGCTAAGATGTGCCAAACAATGAGGGAACAATAAACGCATTATTCCAAACCACCGTATGGTACAAACTCAATCAAGAACTTGATTATTCCATAGTTCTTCAAGTGTAGCTATACTTTACATATTACATAGGTGTATATATACCAGATATATATATATGCGTAGTTCCTCATTTTGTTTACATATACAATAATACGTATATATATACATATTAATACGATTAGATTGCATCCATCTGCATGTCTTCTCCAGCCATGGCCCCACCGCGCAACGGCGGCCTCCTCCGAGATCGTAGACCAAGATGTTCTTCTCTGTCTTCTTGTCCAGGCCATAGGCGATGGCCGCCGCGGTGGGTTCGTTGATGATGCGCAACCTCCGACGAGGCGACGTGCTGCGGCTTTCGATGTCACATTGATGCAGAAAAAAAATGCTGGGATTGATGAAAAAAGAAGTGCAATAAGGATTGTGTATACAATTGTTTTGATTAAAAATACCGTACAACCATATAATCACACACCAAACACCACATATATATATACACACATATATATTATAATATATATATATATATATTCATGCTATGTAGATAATTGTGCAGTGTAGTTGATATATGAACTCACCGGTTCACTGCTGAACCGGACTGAAGACTTGCCATGCTCTCCGGTATCTGTGGCTAGCACCATGTAAGACGGTTACCCTGTGGTAATTTAGCAGTTTGCTATGGAAACTGGTTTGTGTATGTCCATGTAGTTCGATCATTTCAATTTTTTTTTTATGAAAAATAATGAAAAACTGATGAACCAAGCGACACGTTCATCCCTGCAATGGTGCCAGCATCTTTGGTGGACTGGCGTTGCGCATCGTTGAAATATGCGGGGACAGTAACGACGGCATGCTTCACTTCTTTGCCCAAGTAGTTCTCCGCCGTCTCCTTGTGGAAAATGAAATGAAAATGAGACCCACAGAACAAACTCAGAACAAACTCAGCATACCCAAAATGACATTCAGTCTCGCGAGTCCGATACTTTTACGGGACCAGGAGGCATGCGATGTGTAACTAGGTTCCACCACTTGTGTGTTTTTTTTTGCGGTGGCTCATTTTAATGGTTCAAATGAAATCATACAGTTCAATTTCATGTATCAGCACGGTTGCTGACTCAAAGTGCCCACACTGAGGCGGGAATGTAAGCAAATGACATGATCCAGGACCTTCCAGGACCTTAGGATGTAGTGACATATGACAATATGGGGATGGGTCAAAACCCTGGTACCTTTTGTTCACCCCAAGTCATAGCTGGGATTTATGGATGTGAATAACCCACTAAAAATGGTATCTATAGGTATTGACCCATACCAATATCTTCAATGATCTGCTGCTCCTCTCTCTCTCTCTCTCCCCAGTCTTACCCATGACGGCACCTTCATCTTGGTCAAAACCATGGAGGAAACCTCCTCAGGAGCCATCACCTTGTCCTCACCCTTCACCTGCCATGGAAATGGCTGATAAGGCAAAACCATGGGGAACATGAGTCAATATCAGGTGGGGTGGCGTACATCCTGTACAAATCCTCACAAATCAGGATGTAAACAATTGTAAACATCAATCAAAATGAATGCATCTGCAACATAAACGTGCAGTGATTGCACAATATTACACATGCAACACACATCTTAGATACCTTGCAAAGTGGTGTTTTTGGTTGCGCGATGTTGCGCGGTCTGTTTTCCCATTCATTGCAAGAATAAAGACCCCTTGGCGACCTCTGAACTAAGTATGACCAGGTATATCGGTGAAATATGTATAATCACAAGTTAGTATCTCATTTAACTTTGCTATAACCTTTGTACATCTTGGTTTCACTATACAACCTACTTATACTATGGAACATATATACATTAAGCATACTTGCAACTACTTCCCAGGGACCTCAGGATTTGACTTCAGACCCTGCATCTTGGGGTCTTGAAGTTAGCCAAGGGTTGTCTAGGTTTATCAAGATTCAGTGTAGACCTTTTGGCCTTTCCTAACAGTGTTAGGAAAGGTCTTCCAAATGATGATTTCAAAATCCATGGATCTATGCTCCACTCACCAGCCCTCCATGTACTCCGGGCACCTTGACGCTGATCATTGGCTTGCTGGCCTTGTCCACCTGGAAACTCTGGGCACAATCATCCCCAACAATTAGATAACATGAGGCAAACTATGATTTTACAAAAGGTAGCATAATGCATTATCATATAACCAATATCAACATATCACAATAACTTGATATGATTTAAAATAGTACAAAACAGATACTAGATGATATGATTGTGCAAATATATATATATATAATATAATTTTAATTAAAGAAATGCTCTGAACCAGTGGTTGGACTATGCTCAACCACCGCCGATCCCGATCTCACCAGTTTCCTGGCTCAACTCCTTCTCCCCCAGATGTCATGTGTTTTGATTGAGCCACCAGCCACTTTACAAAGTAAGTGCGATATCAATTTCCCCACCATGACAACAACAATCAACACCAACCCACCTATAGGACCTATTATTTCACCATTCGCCAACATGTTCTTATTGGTTTCATCTTCCCAGCGGCGATTTCGTATGGCAGGAGCTTGATGTCCTTCTGCACCGTGGAATCCTTGAAGCGTCGACCAATGAGGCGCTTCACGTCGAACAAGGTCTGCGTAGGGTTGATGGTGGCCTTGCACCGAGGCGCGAAGAAAACTCCAAACAGGGCTGCTTCTCTGGCAGGCGATGGCGGGCCATAGTGATGATTATATAATTCATATGAGTAACACACAAAATGTGTGTGTGTAGAGTATGATGATGATGATGATGAAGATGAATATTGATGAAGATGAAGATGAAGATTGATGAAGATGACCATGACGACCATGACGACCATGACGACCATGGCGATCATGACGACGACGATGATGATGATGATGATTCGATTTTGTGCAGCCTCTTCCAAACAACCTGCAGCCTTTTTCTGGGCACCGCGCATTCTGTACATCTCAGGGCTGTCTGCACTTGCCCAAAATGAGTTGATGCTGGAAGCCCGCAATAATTGCATGGTAAAATGGTAAGGTTGCCACAGGTGATTGTGGGCCAATACCCGGCACCCATCTTGAGAGTCCCAAATTCCACTACAGATCGCCTAAATTTGGTCAGGTTGCTTGGGTGATTGATGGTGATGGTATATCGAATCTGAAGATATAACAGAAACGGTGCATGGGATTTGGCCCAACCAAAGCCAAAGTTGTATAAATGACTACTCACACAAGTGGCAGGCAGAATAAAACGAGCATAGGAATAATTACAGGACAAACTTGTCCAAGCTCGCTTTCTTTCAGGACTGACTTATCCAAGGTAACTCGGATAGCCGCTTCGTTGCATCAAACTGTGGTCCGGCTTCATAGCAATCGATCTTGGCACTGCGCACGCTGGACAATGCGGCTCACCTGCACTGGCTTGTGAAGCATCGGACGGAGCAATTGCGCACAATCGGACAACAATTCATGAACAGGAAAACCATAGGAAAACCATAGGAAAATGGTGGTTTAATGGGATTTAATGGGATTTAACAACAATTACCCTCTGGTAAACTAACATAACTATGGAAAGATCCACCATTTTTAATGGGAAAATCCACTATTTCTATGGTCATTTTCAATAGCTATGTTAAATTACCAGAGGGTAACACATCCAATCAGGAAACTCACAAGATGAGCCTCCCATGGGATGTTCTTGGCTTTAACTCTGCAACATGTTCTATGGCAAGCTCGTGCCGGGTGCTTGTATAGTTGGAGGTGGCAAGGGCCACCTGAAATATCAAGAAAATCCACAAAAAAAAACACACACTTGTCCTTTGACTTCGAAAAACCACACCTGCTCTGTGCTGATCAGATCAGTCTTGAGATGATTGCAGGATGCCGAAGATGCTGCAGGTGCTGTGACCGGTGCTGCTGGAACTGCCGCTCCTTCATAGGGGGCCACCCCGGCCATCGCCATGACACTCATGGCGATGCCGCGGCCGTGGGGCATGGTGCGGTGTTCCACGGCGCCACGGGTGGGGACCGTGGCGAACTTGCCGAGATCTGCCTGGGCAACATCACACAGACGCACATTCTATACATATAATTATCTATAAAGTTAATATGTGTATATATATATAAAACTATATATATATAAAATTATATATATATATATATAAATATAATATAATAATATATATATATATATATATATGTGCGTGTACTTCTTGATCAAATGCGACATGGAGTTGCTAGAATCCCGGCCTTCACCGAAGCCAGAGACTTCTTTTCTCTGACATCGCCCCAATGGGCGCGAGTGGCATTTTCCATCCGCCCATCTGTGTCCATCTGGACAGTCTTGAAACCACGGGAATGCAAATTGGCCACCTGGCTGGTGCCAATTATCACTGGATTGGTTTAAGGGAAAATCTACAGGAAACCATGGTTTTTACCATCAAATATAGGGCTTTCCTGTAAATTTTCCCATCATCCAATTCTATGAAATTAACCATCAAGAATCCTGGAAAAAAACAACAACGATCACATTAATGCAAACACCTAAGGATCTCCTATCGGACCAGAATTCATTATCTCAAAAAATGTGGTATTAATCATCAACAAAAAGCCAAAGATTGCCCCCAAATTCCACGTCCATTTACAGGCAAAAACAAGAATCAAAGTTGCCCGCCATCCTCCAAACAGGTTTTAAAACATAAATGTGTGTTTAAAATATATTTAAATGGTAACATTTTACAACAAACAAATTCTTCAGTTTCGAAATTGATCTGAAAAAAGAAACGCTGAAGCCATTCAGATCCAGCCACAGCTGCATTGACTGAAGCCTCAGTGCTGATGTCTTTGCCATCCTTCCGGGCCTCTAGCTGCACTTTCAGAACTTCCTCCTGGATCGATGCTTCAAACATAAGATGGAGGTTGAATAATTACGCATATATTACAGATATTTTGATTTGTCCATCCATTTATTTCAAAGTATATGTTTATATATATATATAAGAATGTTTTACATTGTTTTATCACATAGCGTACACATCCGAAACATTACATTATGAGGCCTCTCCCTCTCTCTCTCTCTCTCGCCTATTATTGTTTCAGTGTGTGTGTATGAGTCAGGACGCCTCCCTATCATGTTCCAACCCGTGGGGCCTTTTGGTCTTCAACTTGGAATATGTAATTTCTTGCATGTTTTTACCCACTTGGGATCTTGGGTTTGGGATGATTGGCTGAACATCTGTTCAATCGCTGAGCAAGTATTGACATCCAGCATCTCATGTTGAGATCCGTATGTATATGGCTTTGCTCTTACGTTCTACTTAATATGAGATCCACCAGAAATTCTGCTTCAGAAACTATTGGATCATGTTGGATGACATTCAGGTTTGGATCCATTATCTATAATATATACATATGAGTGTGACAGACAAGACAGGCATATGGTTGACTCAAAGAATAACATCATACAGAGAAAAAAACATCCATTCAATAAGCAAACAATAATATATCAACCTAATCGATCAACTGGTTCGTGTGTATGCCACCCAACCCCATAGAGATTCATGAACATCTTTGCCTCGAAGAAGTGTAAACTCTTGGCAAACTCCGATCTCACACTTTAGATTTAACTTTAGATCACTCCAGTAATCCTAAAGCTGTTTGGAAGACATCGAACATTTGCAAAGGAATGGCTGGATCCAACTTGAGCAGACAATTCATCCAAGCTCTGCCAAAAACCTTCCTAGTACTTTTACGTACTACCCAGTCATCCACAGGCAAAAGCAATGAGCAACTGGGTAGCCCCAAAGAATAATCCAATTCCACGGCTTACCCATAGATCTTCCCCGCAAATTCCCAAGCGAAAATGGAAGATATCCACAAACAACCTTAGAAAACACTAGCTAGCCAGTCATGGCTTATGATGTGTTCCCAATGGGCAACGTCCTCCACTTGCCGCTGAAGTTTGGCCAGCGCCAACTCCTCTGCACTGCCGTTGATGATCACCTTACTGAGGCCGCTGCCGAACTGAGGCAGTCATTTCATTGTCCAACCGTACCCTGGGGTGAACATCGACAAAAACAGCTCACACCACAATATTGACTCTCTCTCTCTCTATCTCTATATATATATATGTATATATATATATATTTACACATGGCAAATCATGGCAAAAACTGAAGGTGCAAATGACTACTTGTCAATTGCATGTTGGAGATGATCAGCCCATCTGGTTGCCTACTGGGAGCCCCTTGAATCGGAGCCCATAGACAGTTCCAAAAAGCACATGTATGGAGGCTTGCTGGTCGACCCCGCTTCTGGTTGAGAAATGGCACTTCAAAATCATATTGTCCTTGCTAAGAATCCGTGCCGTAGAACCTCAGTTCTGTTTGCTGGTTCAATTTCCCCTTGTTTGTTGCTTAACCAGCCATTTTTGTTGATCATTGATCATCCCCCGTTCTGCCACTTCATTTCCCATCTCCCTATAAAATCCAGTTGTGAAATGTCATGAATATATACAACAAGAATAAGGCACCCCAGCTAAAGTCAGTGAATGTCAGTGATTATATGTGATTCATATAATATGTGACTCACCCTCATTTTCCGAAGCATTTTCTCCCATCAGCCAGTGACATCTGCCAGCATGGCCGCCGAGCTCAGCGCTACGGCCTGCCCACCGGTGACCTCGGCCACGGTGCAGAAAAAGTCGCGGGCGAATTGGTAGGCGCCCAGGGCTGGTTCGCAGCCTCGGCGGGGATGGGAAGATGGGAAGATACCCATGACGGATCCTAACGGTGCTGCTATATATGGTGTGCCGTGGATCCCATCCATATACCCCAGTCATGTTAGCATATATACCTGCACCATGGATCCGTCATGGGATATGATGTATGATTTTGCTGGATGTAGCTGGTGTCAGTTGGGGAAAAAAGTTGGATGCATGGGTAAAAATAGTTGATGGTTGATAGTCTTGTACAATCTTGTACCCCGAATTCGATTCTTTTCTTGGACTCAACTTCTCAACTCATCAAAAAACCTTGGAACATCGTGGAACTTTCTCATCCCTGGTTCCAAATGTGCCAGCAAATCCCATGAAATCCCAGCATCCCACGGTGTAACAGGTGATGCCGTGCACGGTCATGTTACGCACGATTTCCAAGGGATCTCGTCCCTCGGGATCTCCGTTGGGAAAGCCATCGCCCGAGGGTTCCAAGCCGTGGGGTGGCGCATCGGCAATCAGCACACCTAAAATGAACAGCTAGGCTGGTGACTGAATCAGAAAATAGCAGGATGGAAATAAAACATATGATATATGATATATATATATATTTATTATATAATATATATATAGTTACCCCATCATTAACATTCCAAGGGCACAAACACGGGACAGTGACATAATGATTAAACAAAAACAGTGTTTTTTCCCCAAATTGGATACCACCAAAAATATGGTTGATCATCATTTTCCAACATTTGCATGTTCCCCATGATTTGTTGAAATTGCCACCTGCCAAGGGACAAATCTTGGTGGCATTGGGGCGCCAAGGCAAGTTGAAGGCATCCGCCAAAGCTGCGGTGACCGCTTCCGGACCGTCGCCGCCACCATGGGCTTTCATGGTGTTGACATAACCTGCTGAAAATATATGCGAGAATCATCTGTGAATCTATGTACAAAAATTGGAACATACATGGGAAACTAATGGAAAACAAATGAAAGTAGGATAACAATGAATAACAACACTTTCGCACAAACTTAAGTACTGGAAAATAGATAGCTTATAGGACAATCATCATCAATCATCTATGAAGATAACGGAGATAACGCGTTGGCACAAATGATCTACCATTCTGATAAGTCGATATATGGCTGGAAAAGCCCAACTTTCCAGCCGGATCTCTGGGAGGATCATCAGGTGACTGGAGCATTGCTGGTTTAAACTACTGGAGGGTAGTTTAGGGTGGAGCAGTGGAGCATTGTGCAGCATTTTTGTTAGGCAAAAGATCTGATGAAAAGAAAATGGTGGTCTTGGCGATGCTACTCAACATGGGTCATTAAATGTCACCACTGAACATCACCCAACCATGAGGTATCTCATCTATAATTGCCATTCAAAGGTGATGTCCAATAGCC